CTTTATAAAATATGCAATAAAATACATACTATTTATTAATACGTTTTAAACAATAAAGCTATAACTTAGTTTATTGAACAATAGTTGTTGATCGATTTTCAACTTACCTACTATAAAGTACGATTCAAGAATCAATTTTAATCTATATATATATATATCTAATTATTATGTATAAACAATTAAAAATATCTAATGGATACGCAAAAAGAATTTACTTAATAAATTAGTTATAAACTAATTTTATTATTTTTATCATAAACCTCTTCCTAAAGGAGATAATAAAGACGAAATTTTTTTTATAAACTATAATTTAACTGTGATTTTTTCATGAAAAAGGAACATGATTTTTTTTTTTTAAATTAATGTTAAAAAAAAAATAACCAAATCATTCTGTAATATAGTAGAGGATGAGAATCATAACCAGGATGTTCAATTATTCATTTATATTATACGATTGCCAATTGATACTCCTTTAGTTGTTCCATTTATATATCCACTTTGCGTAACTAAAATTACCTTTATTATTACGTCTGTTTGAAAATAATTAAAATATTGGTGACATTGCATATACTTCGATACGTATTTAAAAATCATAATATTATAATTTAATATTATTTTGTTAATTACATGTATATAATGAAATTGTTACATTTTTGTACTTGTATTTCAATTTTCAACTGAAATTATTTTATCATTTTTTATTTTTTAATAGGAAGATATTCGGAGAGATTTAGTCATTTTTTTAATCTTCTTAAAGTCTAACAGTTTTCTCAACCTATTATAGAGAGCTATATCAACTATTAGCTATTAATACGATCTTAATTTACGGTGGTTCGGAGAGTTCAAAGGAGTATGCAGCTCGCAGTAGCTCCTGTCAATTTTGTGTACTTTAAAAGAAGGATTGGACTTTTATGTTTTATTATCTTGAGAAGACGGTTTAATTTTTAGGAGTGATTATCTTGAAAAATGCAGTATCTATTTTTCTCAAAGTAGTAGAATATATTCTGAAATTCCACTTCACAATACTTTATTTACTATGTTTACTATCTTCCCCAATAACCGCACAAAACTTTAATATTGAACTATCATATTTTTTAAAATTTCCAATATAATAAGCAAGTTTAAATCGAAGAGATAGACTTTAGATTAATTAGTCAAGCTTATGCTTCATAAACATCTCCGTAATGCAATATCAATGTGCAATATACTTGCACATATGGTGAATTCATAATATCCTGAATCTGATTTTTGGAACTTAAATTACTTATTTCTTTTTTATAATTGTTACTTTAGTAATTACATTTTTATTTTTTCTTTGTTAAGCTCATCTTTACAATAACCAGCCATTTCATTTTATTAAAACATTCTTGGATTTTCTATAAAAGAATGTTTTATTGAACCTATAAACATTTCTTATAAAATGTATTTATATAAAAATTTGTAATAGTATTTATTATTCTTAATACTTAAATTAGAATTAATTCAAAATAATAATTATATTTAATAGTTATCTTTATTATAGATAATAATATTTATCGATAACTATTAACTTTGTCATTATACATATTTTTAATATATTTATTTTAATTATTATAATTATAATAACTTATTACAATTATATATTATAATAAAATTCAATTCGTAATATAGAACATCCATATTAGGATAAGAATAGCATAACTAGATTATAAAACTGATACACACAGATTCTGATTTGAATTTATAAAACAAGTATTCTGAATCAAATAATTGTTCAAATCAAAATTTTAGTTGTAAATGCTTTCTATATCTATTATCTGACTATTGAGGCTTTTTGTGAGTTTATCGACAAAGACTTTAATATTATAGATATTTAAATTTTCAGTTTAGTTTTTATTTTAATAGTATTCAGTTTTTATAATTAATACTATTTCATAGTTAAAAGTTTCATTTTAAGTAAAGTCGTTATCATAATATGACTATTTAACATAAATTGGCATTAAATATTTACCCATTTACTATTGTTGACACCAATAACCTGTTTAATACCATCTACATATACGGAAGTATAAATATCAACTCTTTCAGATTGATTTGTTGTATGTCTGTTATTTCTTTTATCATTTCTTTAAAATAAGTAGAGGTTATTTCGTAAGTTAGTATTTTATTATTCAATAAGTTATTAAAATTGTTAAATATTTCTCTATGTATATATCGAATGAGAAATGTATAAATTTTTATAATGTTAAGGCAGCAGATATTTCTGTTGTTTACTTTACCAACAGAAGAACGCTATATAACGCTATAAGAACGCTAGTCATAACTATTGTTTGTTGAACTAGTCATTATTTTCTACTTGAAGCAGTGTACCTTTAATGTTTTCTACTTATTCTATTAAGCTGTTATTATATAAATCTTTTAAGGCTATATTACCGTATATATTATCATGATATGTACTAGGTTACAAATAACAACGCAGTGTGGCATTATATATTCTTTAACTACTTGATGCGTTAGTGATAAAGTTTTCTACTTTTATCATCATAATAATAGAATCTATGCAAGTATTCTTTCCGTATAATCAACTTTTAAATAAGAAAATTATGTTAGCTTCCTTGACAAACCAAATATTTTCTATTATTATAAATTATTATAAATTATAAAATGTACAGCTGTTAATTATGCATAATATATTTGATTAATTTTAATCATATTCTATTGCTTCTGTATAGATAATGAGTTTTTTAAAAATATATTATATGATTTTTAATGAAATTTTAATTTATATCTAGACATCATAAATAATCTGTATATAATTTTCGTAGTATACACATATTTTTTAATGAGCAAATCTTTTTTTGTTTAGTTAATTTTTTTATTGATCTATTTTTCTATTAATATATTAAATACTCTAGTAATACCAGCGCTAGTTGAACTGATAAATTTAAAAATTATTTATTTCAAAATTTATATAAATTATTTTATAGAAGATTCATTAACCTTTCGAACTTTATCAAACCTCTTGAAAAGTTCTGAAATTTCTTATCAATTTATTACAAACATACAAAAATAGACTGTACACAACAAATTAATATTTATCTTTTAGAGAAAAACTCACATTAATAGATGTCTAATTCAATACAAATGTTCATAAACATGCATATTTTAATATATACGTTTCAAGTATTCAGTTAATTTCAAAATATTAAAAAAATTTTAAATATGCGTTTTAAAAATTCATAGTAGATAATTCTGTAACTTTAACAGTTTATTTGTAAATTTCATCGAAGTATATTTCATTAATATTTAAAAAAAAAATTTTTTTTCGTATATTTTATTTCAATTATATTATTAACTACATATTTATATTCAAACAATTAATATCGTATTAGACATTTTGTTATTTTCTTGATTTAAATTGAATTATTTCTAATGAATACATATTAATAATAAATAATTATGTGTATTATTGGAATAAATCGTACAAGTATGTAATTGTATGTATTAAAGATATATTTTATTTATTATAAAGTAAATTTAAAAACAAATTAATATATAATTATAAATATAAGCTTTCAATTTAACATCAATTGAGCACATGATATACTTTTCAGATAGTGGTGTTTAATCAATAAAGTTAATTAATTTATTAGTAATAATTATTATAAAAACAAATTAAATAAATTATACGCATAATTAATAAATACAGTTTTACAATAGTTTAAATGATGTTTATTAAATTAAAAAAATATATTTGTCCCAAACAATTTATAAAGACATTTTTAAAATATTGATATAACTATTTATTTTGCAGCTATGTAAATAAAATACTAAAGTAAATTCAGAACAAATTTTAACTAATAAAGCTTCATATTGATTTTTTGATCCATTTTAAATAAATTAGATTATACAAATAATTTTATTGTAATTTTTAATTGTATTAAACAATTTTATTTATTTAAATTTGTAGTATTAACAATGAAAAGTATTTATCAATACTATTATGAATAAATATTTAATATTAGAATTTTTTAGTTAAAATATTCGACTTTAACTAAACTTCTTTTTATTTTCAATTTAAAGTACATAATATTTTGTATTTCTTGAATGATAACATTTTTAAATACATGTATATAGTAATTTTATTTAAATGCAATTTCGTAAATATGCAGCTCGTGTTGGTATAACATTTGTCAAAGTATATTTTCATTTCTAAAAATGTTTAACTTTTCTTTATATGTAATTAGAATACTTCAAGTAATTTTTTTTATTATATAAAACTGTCATTATTTAGTGTGTATATACATCGAAACATGTGTTGGAATATTAAAAAAAAATGTATTACCTAATGATTTCATCATCTTTTAATACTTTTTATTTATTTGTGCACTTGTAATCAAGATTTATTGTTTTGTAAAGTAATCATCGAAAAATATTGATAAATATGCTGAGTATATTGTAGCAACTTCACGTAAATTTCACGTCTACTCGTTTCTTAGGTTTTCTTAATTCGTCCTACTTAATATGTATGTTACGATACCACAAAACATGAAGAATGTTTAAGATTATATATACATTCTATGTATAATAGATATATATATGTATTAAAATTATCATCAAATATCAATCGTCTTATGAATATTAGTGACATAAGTGAGCTATATAATTCTTGCATTAAATAAAAATTGCCTTTCGATAGAAATTTTAATATTGTTAGAAATTACTTTGTTTAAGAACAACTATTTCTTTTTTACATATGTTTCGTACAAGATTATACAAATTGATAGTATTATCCTAAACTTTCCATTTTTATTCTTTTTTCTTATTAATTTCTCGAAATTAAAATTTATATTAAAACCAATTTTTTGGTATTTTGATCTTTTTTTAATAATTATTGGTTTTAATTTACATATACGATTTTTCACAAAAATTAATAATAATCTTTTCAAGAAAAAATCAACGGTCATGTCTATATTGTTAATTTGTCACATAAAATATTAAAAAAAGTGTACTGGATTTACTTGATCTATATTGTTGTAATTGATTTGCGTAGTAAGTGCGTTCGATAATTTGTTTTCATTGCTGATACTGCTCATGGTAGTCTTCTTCACAAGATCCGATATGCTTACTGCTACGCCTTTGTAAAATCAATTCTTACATATAAGTTCAAGACGTAAGCATGTAAACCAAAGAACTTACAGTTTACTTGAGTGATAATTTGAAATCAGCAAGATAATATAATAACATTTAAGAATAGAAATCACGGCGATCGTATGCAACCTTTATCCGATTACAGCTTCACGGCAATAAGATAAATAATAATTAATTATGAATTAATAAATAACCACACATACACTTTGTCATTTATAAATCCATTTACCGCATTTAATCACTTGTAATGATTCGAGTACAACTTTAGATGCCGAGCGAAATTCAAGACTAAGATTATAGACTTTTGAAACCAGGCCTGTGATGAATACTGCAAATGCATTCGAATAGACTACATTTCTGGCCCCCTCCAATTCGTACTCTTGCTGTGATACTATTGCTATCTGTATGGATGTTACTATACAATTACAGACTGTATCTATGTTTATAATCTAAGCTTTGATTTTAAGGTCTAGTTAACTTATTGAAGGACAATTTTTTTATTATTCGTAATTAATAATTTTCAATTTAGCCTTATTTTTTTAGTTGATTATTAAAAAATAAGTGAATTTATTTTTAATTTATCATAATTAATTGATTAAGCATTTATGATATTCACATCGATAAATTATTATGAAAAGTATATGATAATTCAGTTATTTATTGTATGTGATATTTTAAAATAAATTATTCGAATTCTATTATAATAATGATGCGAAATGGCCCTTATCAAATAAGAGAAATAAATAATACAGTTTAAAGAATTAATATATATTGAAAATCCATTCATGAGTATTATTTTTTATTACAACATACATAAATATTAAACAATATTTTCATTAAAAATTGTATTCATATATTTCCAGTGTTATACATTTAATGCATATACAATAGTAATAATTATAAAAGTAGTGAATTAATTGTATGTATTAGTTGATTTAAGAAATAATGAATAATGAATATTAAATAATAAGTACTGTATAATTCTTCCCAGTTTCAACTTTTAAAATTCTTTTTGGAATATTCATAGAGCGTGCATATTAATGAACACAACTAAAAAAAGGATTATCTAGGATTCGCCCTATAATTGTATTCAATTCAATAATAAAATTTACGTAGATTGGTATCTATGAAATTTTATATGTTTAATTGTGCATAAAAGCACAGTTCCCAGTTTAATTTCTTTATAGCCTATAATATTTTTGTCATTTAATATTATATTAATTAAGTGAAAAATTTATGCCTGTAAGTAAATAATATATACATCTATGCCTATAATAAATAATAATAGATTGCAATGATTATATTTATAATTAAGAGAAAATTCAGTTTAATTCGTGATACTTACATCTATTTTTTAATTATACCAATAAATATATTCTGAAATACAATTTTGTGTTCCAACATAAAAAATAATAAAGATTAGAATATTATATTTTATATATGTAATAATCAATATATCCTTTATTGAAAAGCACTTTTTTTTCTTCCAATTTTATAATTTTATAAAAATGAGTTTATATGGAAATGTAAAAAAATTGTATTATATTTAGAATGTCTTCAAATTATAACACTGATTTTCTACGAAAAACATTTATCTTTAAAACCTACAACAACATTTTATATGCTCCAAGATATGCATTTGTATCATCTCGATAATCCAATGGTTTTCACTGTAATTTAATAAATTTGCAGTTACAAGTTGTATTTCCCAATGAGAATTGCATACGTTACCGGATATTAAATTTTTTGAACAAAAACTTGATATAGTCTTTTTAGAAAGTTATTCTGTTATACTAAATAAAACAAATATGAAAATAGAATTAATTAAGAAAAAATTAGAAAATAATAAGAATTAAATTTTATTTAAGTGATCTTTAATTTAAAGGAATGAAAACAATATTAATTAAATGATTCAACTTATTTATAGTATATCGGAAATTTCACTAACTAATTTTATCTAATGAAATTATAAATAATTCATACTATTTACATAATATATAATTCTTGTATAATTAATAAGAATACAAACTTATATTATTTTAATCATATAACTTAATTATACTTTATTATTATTGATAAAATTTATATTTTAATATAAATACCATTTGTAAATATTTTTAAATATATACCTTATATTGAAATAATATTAATCAACGAATTTGAAAGTTAAATTTCAGTACTTAAATTTTTGTTTGAAATAAATTTTCTTTCGTGTTTATTGTTTATAACGATAATTTATAATAGATAATTTTTTATTAATTGATAAAACAATAAAATAATATTATTTTTTAAAAATAAACGAAAACACATTTATTTTTTCATATTAAATGACTTTTTTATTTATAAAAATCTGGAGTGTAATGCCTTAAAATCATTAAGTGTTTAAGTAAAGAAATTTAAAATGTTTAACTAATTTATAGATATTATAATTAAGATATAGTATTAAAAAATATTTTATTGAATTTATGATTTTAGACAGGTTGAATATAACATTTTTTTAAAAAGTTGAAATTAATAACATTAAAAATGTAATATATATTCAAGATGATATTACCACTTATTTTGATTACTTATAAATTTTTCATAAATGTAATCTTTATAAATAACAAAATTTTAAACAGTTTTTATATAATTATTAAAATATTCGTTAAGTAAATTTATACAAGAAATATGGAAATTGTATGAAAAAACAATTAAAGATTATATAATGAATCTAAAGAACGCTAGAGTCAAATGTTAATTATTGAAATTTGTTCTGCATATGTATAACATTAATGACAATTCATTTAATACATAATGATAAGTATATAAAATACAAAATACTTTTTTAAAGATATATTAAAATAAATGTCTTTCAAATCAATATTTAATTTAGTTTAATTTTATATTGAACTTATTTATCATCATGTAAATATATGATTCATTTAATATGATATAATACATTATTCCTTTGATTATTTAAAAAAATATTTTATGATTTGTAAATATTGTAAATTTATTATATTCTTTTATTTAAACTGCAGTTTTAAAGCAATGCAAATTAGAACAAATAGAAATGATAAAATAATGCTTAATAAAAATATGTTGATCTGATAGAATTTTTTATTTATTTCAATTTTAATTTATTAAAATAAATTCAATATTTAAAATAAAGATTAAATGAAATTTATCATTGTATTTAGAGTGTATAGAAATGTATAAGCCGGAAGATCTTAAATGTATAAGATTGTTAGGTGATAATATTCACTAGTATAAAGCAACTTGGGTACGTTAAAAATATACAACAAGATTATAATAAATTAGAGTAAAATATAATTATTGAATACTAGTACTACAATTACCTATGATTATGAAAGTTTGAACTTCTTAAACAATTGAAATATTTTTTAACGTTATTTTATTAAATGTAATAATATATATTTATTTTTTATTTAATGATATGTTGTGATGCAGTTTAATTGATGCAATTGATTAATGATTCTGCCTAAATATCTGATATGTAGAGATAATAAATTTAAAGGAAGGATAGTTTGCATGTAAAACTTTCTTGTTTCTTAATTTAAATTAATTAACATCACAATTCTAATTATTTTCTTGATACTTGAATTCTCACTACTTATCTTCAAAATTCTTTAAATATTTTTTTGTTATTACTTTACTACAGAAAATTTTGTTATTATGCTATTTTAAATTCTTAAAAATTATTATTTCTTCTTTTGACTTGAAGTCAGTGGGATATTATAGTGACAACAGTGGGTGTTATAAGAATAAACCTCAGAAGTATAGTATACCTTCTCTACCTTCTTGAAGTAAAAAGAAGCCAATTAAGTTTTTTGTTACACATTTGTCATTTAAAATAATTTTTCCTTCTCGCTGTTAAAAAAATAAATAATTTTCATTATTTAAGTATTATAAATTTAAAAATTAGTATTTAGAATAACTATAAATAAAACCTAATTAAAACATAAATAATTATATTTATTTATATTATTATATTAATAATTATTTATGCTTGACTTTATCCTATTTATTTATCTAAATCAATTATTAATCTAAATTTGACTCATCTAAATCTTGAAAAGCTGCTTGTATTGTCAATATACTAATTGTTTTTCTAAAGTCAAATTTATACGAATAAATCCAGGTTATCAATGCAATTTGATATCACGTATCTTATTATAAACTGTACCTTGATTATTTTATTAGATATGATTTTATTGTAATAAAAGCACGAAGGTAATCATAATTTTTCTCTTTAATAAACGAAACTAAATTAGACTAAGTAAACTAATTTTATATATTCTTTTTTTAATTTAATTGAATAAATCTATATAAAATAAATTAACAAAATACAATAATACGCGCCAGATTAGTTAATAACATACTAAACATTTAAAAAATATTATATTGTCTCTACTAACTATGGAAATAATGGCAAAACTTATATAAAATACTTATAGTATCATTTATAATATTTTATAACTTATTTATATAAGACACTTAGTAGCAAGCGTGTAATAATTAATCCCTTAATTATATGATTATTTTTATTATAATTATATAATTATTATATATTTATATTAGAATTAATTATACCCTTAATTATTTTTTTACTAACATATATTTATAAATAATATAAAGCTGAAATATATTGTGAATACTTGTTCAATGTATCTAAACTGATTTTTATTGCATTAGCTTAAATTGCACAAAATATTCTTTAACCTTAATTAATTTTTTATAAGGAAGGAGCAGCGAATACGTTACAACTTTAGATAAATATATTAATTATTTATAAACGCGAAGGTTATTAGTTTTTATGAAATATAAGTTGATTTTATAAGTATGTTGAAAAAATGTCATTGTTATAAATTTTTAACAGAAATATTATTCAGGATATATTTTCTTTAAGTAATTTGAGAAGGAATTAAAGACATGAATTAGGATATGTTTCAAACAATTTTTTAAATTTCACGCACTACTATATATAATTATGAAACGTCGATTGATATACACGTTTATGATAGAGTTAAGATTCATATTTTAATAATTAAAATATATCTATTAAAATTTTCTATTTTGTATTTCTTACTATCTAAAAATCAAATAAATAACGTGTATATGCTACTGTTATTTAACAATATTATAAAAGCAGTATAATAACATTACACATTTACGAAGTATTGTTATTAAACTGAAAAATAATTATAATAAATATTTATCTATAATTGATAGAATATTGATTATATCTAAATAATCTATTTATTTATTGAATAATTAATAATGAGTTTTGATTAATTTCTAATAATGAATAAAAATCAAGAAAGTCATGATTTGAAATAACAAAGGTAGTGGAGTGCACTAGATTGCAGTTCGAAATATTATATATAGCGAGATAAAATAACAGTGTGGAATTACGTCAATAAAACCGCATTTTCTGAAATAATTTCGTCTTCTTAGTTAGTAACTAGTTTTTGTATATTTTAAAGTAAAGATTTATAATCGTAATTAGAAATCTTACTGATTTGTATTTTAATAAAAGTCACAAAACGTGTACAATTGTAATGCGTTATACCATGCATGCTTATAGAGATGGATTGATAGTTAAGAATTATTAAACTCATTTAAATTATAATTTAATTACTTAATATATAATCTATAATAAATCGTTTTTTATTATATAAATAATAAAGTATTACTAGCTTGAAATGTAATTGCAAATAGTTATGACAAAATGATTAATAATAGATATTTTGAAATTCTAGTAAATTTTTTATTTTTTTAAATTCTACTTTTGATATTATATAGTTTTACTTCACTATATAATCGATGTATTGCGACGAATGTTGTTGAAAACCCTAGAATTCTCATAAAGAGATAACTTCAATATTATTTGCTTTGTAGATTTATTAATTCTAATAGATATTTTTGGTATGTAAAAAATTATTCTTTTTATAATCTAATTTGTTTAAATCTATAGATTTAAACAATAGCCATCCTTCATTCTAAAATAATTTATTGTATGTTTTGAATAAACTGAAGTTATTAGATTATTATATAGTTTAATGCGTTATTGTACACTCAATTGGTTTTATACTAGATTTTATATTGTTTTATATTACAAAATTTTTTAATATAAATATATATTTACTATACATTTATATATTTAACTATATTTATTACTTCTCCTAGTAATATTATAAGTAATTAAATAAATATTTGGATATAAATCCAACTATTAGTAATAATAGTATTTTGTAGAAGATATACGAAGAATGTGTTTAAGGAATTCAAAAAATATTTGAATATAAATCTATGTAATAATATTAATGGTAATAATAGTAATATTAATAAATAATTAGTAATAATAAAAATATACAAATTCAATATTTCAATCAGAACATTAATTACTAAGTTATTTAACAAATAAGATCTCGTAAAGAATATTTAGAAGATTAGAAGGTATTAAATATTTGCCCTCAATTTAATAATTAGTTTTTAAAAAGATTGGAATGTGTTTTTTTTTAAATGTGTACAGTATAATTTTGGCATTGTCTTTGCTAAGTAGACTATTAAATTACTGATATTTAAATATTATTTAATCAAATGAGAAAGAATCGTAAATTGATTTTGAAATAACCTCACACGTAATTCTACAAATAATTTATAAAAAAGCTATGAAAGTTCGTTAAAAACAATATGAGAAAAGTATATAATTTATTATAGAATAATAATAGTAATGTTTTTATTAATACTATTTAATATTTTATTTATATATATAATGCTTTTAAAAGTATACATTTTAATATATTCGTATAATTTAACAACTTATTTATAACAAAAACGTAGCTATTAAAAATACGTGATACAGGTTTTTATATAAATTTATTTTTAATTAATGAAAAATCTTTTATAATTATTTCGTTAAATAATCTATCACAATATTTTTCATACTTATCTTGTAGAATATATTGAAATTAAGCGTTTTGCGCATGTCCCAAAAAGAGTTTTATCAAGGTTAGTCTCAAAAGTTTTAATGTTTCAAAAAGAGTTTTGTCATTTAAGCAGGCTAGATGATTTTGAAAATAATTTTTATAATAATTAATATTTGCATGAAACAACAAAAATTAATTTTTTTCTTGAAGACAGAAAGTGTACATATAGAACACAAATGGATATTACAAATAAAGCATCATTTATTACCACTGCAGGTTTTTGCCCCGATTGTGGATCAATATTACCACTGCTTAATAACCAGCGAGGAGTGACTTGTTATTCATGCTCGCGAAATTGGGAACCTGAAGGTTTATACTTAACCTAAAATTTTTAGTATTAATAAGTGAATTTTATATTTAAATAATGTTTAATATAAAATTAAACTCTTAATATGAATTTAAATTTTTTTTACATTTTTAATTAGAAATATCAACACATTAAGAGAAATAGTAAAAAATTATAAATTTGAAATAAATAAATTAAAATTAAAATAAATAACAAATATGCTTTAAAATTTTTTAAATAATAATATATATAACAATCACTGTTTTTTAATTTTAAAAATATTCTTCAAAATAATATACTGATATTAAAAATACATATATATACAATCAATTTATATGTGTAATTTTATATATAAAAAGTAACAGTAATGAAATTTATTTATTAATATATTGAATTAAATTTAAATGTTTCATTGATAGTTTTTTTATGGTTCAGTTTAATTGATAATTTTATGAAATAAATATTTAATAATCCACTATTATAGTTTTTGGATATATCAATATTATAGTTTTTCAATATGTCAATATAGTTTTTGGATATATGTCAATGATATATACAGTTACATTCAATAATAAAGATACATATACCTCCGCAAAACAATTTGGTAATATTGAAGAACTAGAAGGTCCTATTATAAATCGACAATGTCTTCATTGTAACAACAATAAGATGTCTTATGCAACTTTGCAATTGCGTTCAGCCGATGAAGGTCAAACAGTGTTTTATACATGTACAAAATGCAAGTAAGTGAATAGTTTTTCAGAATAAAAACTTTATTTAACTATTTTGATTCTAGATTTCTAATTTGTTTAAATTGCAGATACAAAGAAACTGAAAATTCATGATTTATATTAAGACATGTGCTTAAGAACTTTATACTTTATTTAATAAATTGATAATTACATGACACGATCCAAATATTTGAAAATTAATTTTCTCAGATCTAGAATTGGATATACTATAATAAAATAACCATATATCTACCAAAATTAAAAAACTGAATATTAATAATTAGTAAGGTTTAAAAAATAAATCTATTTTGATTATTCATAAAAAATAATATTAAATTTTGAGCTTGCAAAAAACTTAAAAATAATTAGCAAACAATACATGTTCGCATACATCACTATATATTAATAAAAAATTTTATAATGTAAACATTCATGATAATTATACTATTATTTTAATGAATTTAATGGAAAAATGTCAAATATCGAATATCAATTCTATGATCATCATTTATTACTTTCGTACATAGTAGCTACAAATTTTGTAATTTTGTGATTCATACAAAATATTCATATGAAAATGGTTCATTAGTTTTTTATTAACAATTACAAGTTTTATTATCTCAATAACTCTTGAATTTGTTATTTACATAATCAATCTTCCATATATCCAAAGACAGATTATACAATATAATTAACAACAGTTTAACTTATTTTACAATTATAATGATGGTTTAAAACATTCATCTAAGAAGTTTTCCATTGAATGGTATAGATGAAGTCGCATTCTAGCAATATCGTGGGTTTCATCAGTGTAAGTCTGAAAAATAAATTTAAAATTATAGTTATTATAAATATTTTTTCATTAGAACCTTTTCTAAATAATAGGTTTTATATTTTGTATTAATTCATATTCAGTTATAGAATGTGATGTTATCAATATGTGTACTAAATTTTGTTAATATATGTACTATATAATGTATTTTACCTGTTGTCTAAATAAAATATCTTTTTGCTCTAAAATCTTAGCTAGTAGCATAGATTGTTGATAATGAACATTATCATCAAGGGTACCATGAATTAAATAAAACTCTTTATATCTGATATTGTCAACCTTATTAAGGAGTTGGCTTTGATCATAGCCCCATAAATTATCACTAGCATTAGGAAGGCCCATGAACCTTTCCGTATAAATGGAATCTATAATGAAAATGGATTATTTGGAAACACTAAATGTTTTTGAAGGAATATATATATATGTAATGGAGGCCTTCTTAGAAAAAATTTTTATTAAGTTATAGAATGACTAATTTCTACAATATTAAATTATTTGCTAAGATAAGTATAATTGATTTCTCGTAAACATACTTTTAAATCACTCAACCAACCCAACATTTAGTGTAAAATCTCTTTTCTTAAATATCACGACAATAAAAATTAATTTACTTTGTTTTTAAATCGGTTTGTTTAAACAATTATTTGTAAACAAAATATAATAAGTTTAAAATTACGGTTTTACCATAAAGTGTCCAATCAGTTACAGGTGCAACTGATAAGCCACATTTAAAAATTCCATCATAGTCCTTTGCTAGTGCCATTCCTGTAGCATAACCTCCATAACTCCAACCCCATATAGCAGTTTTTGTAGCATCAATGAAGGAAAAATTGTTCTGTAAATACCTATAAATACACAGATTTATTACAGAACTATGTGAATATTTATTTTCCTAATCAAATATGTTTTGTATATTGACAAATAAACAGATTAATTATTAAAGTTACTTTTTGTAAAATTGCATATATATTATTTTTATAAGTATAAATAATTAATTCACATAAAAAGTTACATTGATGTATTCAAATTTTATTCATGAACTGATGGATAATACAATTAATAAAATGCATTATACTTATTAGTACATATTTTGTATTCTTTATATAACATTCTTTAAGAATTATAACATTCTCATTATGAAAAATCATTACTTTTTTGGACGTAACATTTTCACTTTATTACTATTGAATTGAAATAATTATTCTTAATGCAATTTCATGAATTACAAATACTATTTTAATATTTTAATTATTATAATTAACTATCGCTCAATTCAAATATTTTATCATTTTGAACCTATTTTCAATATATTAGAACTGAATTTTATGAAGGTAACATTAAAAAAAATGTATATTTATAGTACATTGAATAATGACATAGATTCGATTAAAAATACAGTTAAAATTCTTTCTTGTTAAAATCTTCATTTAAATCAATTTAACATACTCACTGGACATTCACAAACTCAATATTATGAAATAAAATAAAAAAGTTAAGAAAGTAAAACATTTATAAGCATAATGTTTATTGATTTTTTTTACTTTACAATCACGATTTTGTATATTACTCATTAATTTATATATTTTTAATTTGTATATTTTATACATATTTGTATGTATATATTTTTTATTATTATATATAAAAGAATTGATGAAAATAAAATATATTTTTTCTTAGGCACAAAAATAGTCTCAGTTAATTAATTCGTGATAACACATACAATATAAATTACCTCCTCTAGAAATAATTAAATAAGATCGACTTACTACAAACAATGCTAATGTGTATTAAACGAAAAAAGTTTATAATTTCTCATAATATTTAAAATGTTTTTACTTTTATAGAAATATAAATTCAAGTTTTTGTATAAAAAAATATGTCTGATATTTAACTGTATAAATTAAAAACAAATTCGTTTTAAAAATTAATAATAATATTTATAATCATTTTTATTTAATTTTTTTGAGTTTTTAATATTGATGATTTAATGAAAATTTGAAACTTTTATATATATAGTATACAATTTTAGTGTCTAATTGAGGATACTTAACAATTTTAATTAATAGTCAAACATAGTTAAGAATTTAAACAAATAGAGATACATTTACGTTATTTATTATTGGTTTTAAATTAAATTCTATATTTATATATTAATTTCTAAATTATATTACACTAAATACAGAATTTAAATATTAGAATGAATAATCATTTAAGAAAAAAAACTTAAAAAAATATTGTAATATTTAAAATTTAAATAAGTTTAAATTCTTTAAAAATAATCATAAATTTATATTTATCTATTAAATGAAATATTTTTTATAATGTTGATTAATCCAAGGTATAAATTATTAAATTAAACTATAACTAAACTGAAAATATAAAATATGTTAAGATAGAATAATATAAAATGTTCCTTTTTCAAATAAATTAATTATATTTCAATGAATCATGTATATAAAATTAAAGTAAATAAATAATTTATTTTTCAAATAAAATCTAGTATAAAACCAAGTTTAAGTAAAATATTTTTATAAATATCTTACCATGTTACGTTTATTTGATCTGTTATTTCAACTGTTCCAAGATTTCTATATACTGCAAACATTATTTTGTTGCCTTTTAATCCCGTACCTCGGCCATCAATCGACGTATATATTATATTTTTGTTAGTTACCAAATATGTTCCCCAATCTATATTAAATTTTTCGGTTACTTCGTTTGTATCCGGCCCGCCATATCTGTAATAGAATATATAATTATTTGTTAAATTTCATTATTTCTTTTCAATATACAATGTTTATATAACATTTGTATTTTCAATATTTAAAAATTTTTTAAATTATTTATAATCTTTAAAATATATTTGATATAAATAGTCACTAATTTTTCATATCTAGAATATCAATTATTTAATAGAGCATTACTTTATTATTAGTTAGTAACGTTATATTATAATATATATATATATATATATATATATATATGTTTTCACTGTATAATATTAATAAAAAATAAAAATCCTTTTTTACATACGTTCAATTGGAGAAAAATTTCCAATAGTGGTAATTATCAGTAAAATAAAATGTCAAGAGTATCATAGCTTTTATACTAGTATAAAATAAATAATCGTAATAAAAATACTATGAGAAGAATTTTAATATTCATACTATAAAATATTTAGCATACAATTTATATCAATCAATATGAATACTTAATTCAATTTAAACAGTTAAGTGTTTCCAGAAAAAAAAACAAGTTTATATTTACATATTTATTAATTTATTTTTGCTTTTATTATATATACAAATATTCTATAATCCAATTAGCATCATTTTTTTATTCCTGTCCATATTATTTAAGAGAAGAATTATACATGTTTAATATTAGTTCTGTACATAACTAAATATTATTGAAAATGTAGACATAATATTGACTTTAAAAGCTTTATTGCCCACTATAAACTATTTAAAAACATAAGTTTCTTTTTTAATCTAAAATTTACTAAATAGTTTCTTATTAATAATAATCAGATGCTCAGCCATCTATAGAACTGTGGATTGCATGTATTGTCAGTGACCTGGTATGAAAATTTTAATTGGCTTTCGAGTATATTCGAATACAGTGTGAAGACACAAATCAAAATTTGTAAATGCATCAATACTGAATTTCAATTATGTGATAAGAAAGTTTAAATAAAAGATTTATGTAATTAAACTATGCTATATCAAGGTACTTATGGCAAGTCATTTGAAATTGTCACGAACTCTACAGGATATATAGTTAAAAAGAGGCCGAGTGACCGTTACAAATAACAAATTAATTATTAGAACACACCTTTTCTGATGTGGAAATACATGGAAATCAAGAAAGTTACAGCAGCTTCAAGAAAGATAAAACGGGATTCCCCTGTAATCCAGTCACACAGCCGAATGTCTGTAAAGAAGTTGATAGATAAACTAAGGTCCTATGCATCCATGTTTATGAAAGATGATACAAGTTTTATGGCTACCACAAAAAATTATATTTCGAAATTTCTACAGACTGCCATCGGTTAAATTCGTAAAAATGTATAATTTAATACTATATTTTAATATTTTAAAAGTTTATAAAATTTTATTTTTTTATTAATTTATAATAACTTCCTACTACATATAAATATATAAATATAGTACGGTATACAGAATTATAAAACAAAACAATAAATTATCTGTAAACATGTAATTAATTTAAATAGTGATCGAAATACTATACTGTTGATATACTAATTGATACGGATACAGACTGGTTACGTATATATATATAACTGAGTCAACGCATATAGTTTTCTTATCTTGATTCATGTGCTATATATAGTATATGAAAAGCACTTTCTTTATAATAAAATGTTTTTATTTATTATATTAATATATATTCATGTTTATTAATTTTTATGTATAAATACTAATTTTACTATTTTTATATTCATAATTTTTATATTTAACACAAAATTTTGCATACAAATGTAAATAATAGAATAACGTAATAATATAAACTTTATTGTGTAACAAATCAAATCAATTAATAAAAGTGTTGTATAAATAATTTAAAAATGTTATGTTATATACAAGGTGAACACAATATTGTATATTAAGATTGAATATTTTCAGTAAATTTTAAATATTGCTATTAATTAATTTAAAAGGCTTGAAAATTTTACTCACACGTAAACTATCATAGGATATTTTCTTTTTCCAGATAAATCAACGTTTGGTGGTAAAAGTAATTTAACGTGAGCTTTAAAGTTTCCAGATAATGGTACTGTCAATCTTTTTATGATTGGACGAGATTTTTTAGTAATATGTTCTGCAACATTTTTGTTATTCTCCCACGTGTAGAGCTTTGTGACATTCTAAAAAATTTTAAAAATGAAAAATTTCTATTAGAAAAATGAAATGTGTTAACCCTATATAAATGATATAACATAATATATATAATTATATAAATAAATATATGATTTTTACAATTTCACTATTGTATTACAACGTTATTTAGTAATATTAAATTGCATTACTAAATAAAACATCAAAAGAAAATTGAAATAAAATTTGTTGAAAACCACAATTTTATATTGCATTTAAAATCAATGAAAATCTTACTAAATATATTAGTAGATTTACAAAATTTAGAAAATGAAAAATATTGGAACTACGCTAAGTAAATTTAATATTAATTACTAGGTTATTTTACATGGTGACCAATATACCATTAATTTACTTGCACTTAATTTTACGTATTTGTAAATAAAAGATTTGAAAAATTGTAGTTGATTTATTTAATTTCATTAATAAATTTTATTTTTAATAAAATCTTTAAATATATTATTTATACAATATATTTATTTCATAACGCAAGTTAATATTATAATTTTGCAAAGTTTGTAAAACGTTTTTAAGTTATAAAAAATGTGTTTTACATATAAAGTATAAAATAGTTTAAAAACGATATTAAAATTTTATGACGATTACATAAAAATTTTAAGAAATTTCCACGAATTCACTTATAGGATTAAATGAAGCTAAATATTTTGAAACCTTTGTATTTTAATTAAATTTTTTGCTTTTAGATATAAGAATATTGAAGATTAAAATAGTTTTCAATATCTTCTTCGTCCTAATTCTATTTTATATCAAACTAAAAGATATGATATGCTAAAAATTTTATTTATAATACTTTATAATCGCAGGTTTGGATCTATATAATAAAATAATATGTAAAACGTGCATTATATCATTAGAGTTTGCTACTTATTATAAAAAATATAATTAACAAATGTTTATGTTGGAATTATAAAATGATGTTTTTAACAAAATTCTACAAAGCATTCTACTGTTATTTTTGTAACAACCATAATTACATAAATTAAACATTATTACATAATCATTAAAAATGTTGATATTGAAGTATGTAATCTTTGTGTAAGTAGCATTAAGCTGTCGTGGTATGCAAACAAATAGATTAGCGACCAATATTTGTAGATACCATTTTATATTTTATATTAATATATCATTTTATATTAAGTCCAAACACAAAGAGCTTAATAACGACATGCCTTTTTCGAAATAAATGCTGAGACTATCCAGCCCAAAAATAAATATTGATAACCAAATATAACAATATATGAGTGCTTCGCACTAATTCGAATAACTGTACTTATTAAAATAAATAATCCACAGCATTGAAAATAAGTAAGAAGCAATATTTTAGTGTTATGATACCTTGCAACTAATAAGTGGCTATCATCAGGATTAGGAAGACCATAATCAAGTAAATTAAAATAAGAATAAGTGATATTGATTAGTCTCTAGAATATATTTGGATTTTAAGTTTATCTTTATATATACTTCATCGATACCTTGAGATTTGTCAACGCAACAATTCTACTGTCATTTGCATATATATATATATATATATATATATATATATATATATATATATATACATATCAAGACTTTTGGAGCTTGTTATATTATTATTATTATTATTATTATTATTGTAGCTGTTGTTGTTGTTATATAAGAGTATTATTAATAAAGCACACATTCTTATTCAATAAAGCATTATTTACAAAATATCTATATCTGTATCAATATATTTTTTATGATTTTTTATATAAAACAAATATTAATGAAGTTTTTAAATATTTTTAAATAAGTATTTAAAATATCCTTTCGTTTCAAATAATATGAAATTTATTATTAAAATATATCTTATATTTTATCCATCGTTGTAACAGTTCACTTCTCACTAGATGACAATAAAAGGTCCCACGTTTTAATTTGCTATAAAGTCAAATTTATATACATTTTAGCTTTTGTGACTTACTGAAATTAGACACTAAATCGTTTAAAAGTTATTTTTACTAAAGATACGGAGTCAAACTTTGTTTAAGTCTTAGTCTATTTAAATACATGATGAATTAGTATTTTTTGGTTGAATTGAGAAGAATCCTCAGTATTTTATTAACTAACACAATGTTGATTTGTCTATTCATTTTAACTTTTAAAAAATACATATATGTTTTATATATTTTATGCATTATATATATATATATATATATATATATATATATACAATATAATTATTAAACCATTTAGAAGATAAATAATCTAGATTTTATCTTCGAATGGAATTTTCGACAATGTACAAGAGATTATCATAATATTTTCTGTCTTGGGATTACGTGAAAGATACTATTATGAAATTGAAATGTCTCCAATTTTATTCTATCAATCTAAATATACTTCCCAATTATATTCGTAAAATTTTGTTTATTTTTATGCTTATATGATGCAATGCTTAAGTGAGTATATATTTCGCTTCTCAAACTTTATTATTTTTACAAAAATAGTATTATTAAATGATTTAATAGTGTTATATTATTCAATCGTTTCAGGATTATGTTGAGACATGGGTAGATTTGTCTGAATTATGTATTCATTAGAAACAAATTTACGATTATAGTTTATTTTAATTTTAGTATAAAATTTTTAATTTAAAATCTTAATGAAGTTTTATATTTAGATATACTATTTTTAAATTAAATTTCATGTTTAATAAGTATATATCGTGTATTTAATTTATATCTTACTTTTCTTATTTATAATATAAATGAAATTTCAAATATATAACTTTAAATCAAGACATTTTAATTATATTTATAATAATGTTTATTAAAAATCAAATCATGTAGATTTTAGATATATTCTAGATTATCATAAATAAGTCTTCATTATAAAAATAATTTGGACAATAATATATTGTCAATTTTTAAAGCTCTTGTAATCTATTTGTAATTTTAGTATTATTTAATTTTATCGTCATAAAAAAATTAATATCTATATATAATTTTAAAATTTAAATTTGACTTCTGTATCAGAATTAAAAAAATATTTTTATAATTAATTAAGATTTAATGCAGATTTAATAACAGTTAAATATTTACATTAAAATATGAATTAACGATAATTTTTACAGTTTTCATATGAATTTCTTCATAAGAAATTTATAAATATATATATATATATATATATATATATATGGACTAGTACAATAGTGATAACTCACGTTCGTATATTTTATATATAGTATTTATAATACGTATTTATTCGGATCTTATAAGTACAATGTTGTATACGCGTAATTGTACGAATTGTTTTCGCGTACAAGATTTCAATCGAATGTAGACTGTATCAGTATTAGGGATATTGTTAGATCTGTCAGCATTCACAGTCAAATTTAGAAACAGATTAAAATAAATATCTTTCAGTAATATTACAATGCTAATTTTCTTTTATGATTTAAAAAAAGACTTCACGCAAAAAAAAATTAAACAATTCTTATTTTATATCAGAAAATTTTAATAATTCTTATTGCATAATTCTTTCAATTTTTCATTGTAAATTCCTTTTAAAATATTTATTTTAAATATCACAAAATAATTTATTGTGCATTTTTATTTTAGTCGTTCATTCTCAATTTTCATTATTTTAATTCTGAGGAAAATCACTATACCAATCAATCAGGATTCAAAGGAGGAAAATAAAAATATCCACATGTTTAGATAATCAATGATTTTTATTTTCCTACTACTTTGAATAATTCGAGACTATAATTATAGTACTCGCTTCTTTAAAATTTGTATCGGTCTAATTCTATTACCATATTTATATTTGGTTGTCTATATTTATTTTTACAACCTTATTGCACATTAAGGCCTTCGTGATGAAACTGATGATTACAAAATATTCGTCGCCCTAATAACAAAAAATCGATTAAATATACAGAGTTACTCAGCTTTTTGTTTAGATGACATTGAAATTGTAATATTCCTTGTATCTATAGACTTTTTATTATTAGCTATATTTGCTAATTATATTTATAGAAACTATTAATACATTCAAAGTTAATTATTTCCATGTCATGAATTAAACTATTCTTTATATTCATTCTACATTGTGCGTTAATTACAAATTTTCAATACAGACATAAATTATTAAAAATTTATTAAGAACATTACAATTTCATATAAACATGAAAATAGTAAAAAAAACTTAATGTGTAAATAATTACAAATAAACAAACAATTTAAGAAAGTATAGAATTAAATAATAATGTATAGAATAAACATAAGGCATAGTCTTATCGACTACAAAAAAATGATGGAATAGACCGGTTAAGTTATTGCTAAAGTATTTTTGGTATCAATATTAATAATAATAATTAATAATGATTACTTAAGATAAAATGATTATCTAATTATTATCATGTTTCACTATTTAAATTAATATGATATTGACGGATAGATAACTTTATTTGAAGAGTAAGTCTCTTATTCCCGCTGTTTATTACAAATATAATTAACTTATATTTTTATCTAGAAATTAGTTAAACATTGATAAGAATTTCTTTATTGCTATTATATTTTTAAGATTTAATTTTCCCTGATTGTTAATAAATGATTATGAAATATTGACAAAATAAATAAATTTTTTATTTCAAGAGCATAGCATTGTTGAAGTAAACCGTTGTACATACTGAGTTACACTTTTAAAATAGATAAAAAATAGATTATACATAGAATCAAATTTTATGGCTAAAACAAGACTATATTAAAAATTTGTATTGTGTTTCTATAAAAATATTTGTCCATTTCAATGACAATGATTGTAAAAAAATTTTCTATTTATATATATTTATTAACAAAAACTTATAACTAAAATATAAGTCTATAAAATATTAGAATAATAAAATTGAATGATTTCAGTATGCTGTTTAAAAAATAATTTTAAGTAATTTTTTTAGTAACATTTTATATAAAGTGTCTAAATTCAAATACAAATGATCTAACAATTTAAATGTAATGTAATTCAATTTGATAGGTATATAAGATTTTTTAAGATATTGAAATATTATTTCTATAATATAATATAATACTTTTATATTATCGGATAAATAAAATTCGAAATTTATTTATAACCATGAAAGAATTTTGATAAAATAATAATTTTGTGTATAGAGAATTGAAATGTAAATAACTACAGGATATAAATAATATAAAATGAAAATAATACAAAAAACAAGAAAATTGTCTATAGTTCTTAGTATTTTACATATTCTTACCTTATTATAGATTGTAATTTCTGGAATTCCAGGTCCTGCACATGTAAGAACATAGTGTGAGTTATCCTTAGAGAATTCGGCTAAATTATACAGACAATAACCGCCATCGGATTCATTCACGATTTTGCAAGAGAGACAATCAGATGTACTATTGTGATATAGTGTAGAAACTCTATATAAGTGCTTTTGAGCAGGATCCTGTTCACTTGTTGCCAAATAGTAACTACAAATAACATAAAAAATCGCTAAATATTTAATTTTCAATATGATTACGATTATGTGAATAATTTAATTACATATTAATATTCATATGTAATTTAAATTTATTCATGTATATTCTAAAATTTTCTATTTTCTAAACATTTACATAAATAATATACATTTATATTACATAAATAAATAAGTATACACAGCAGTGTATTATAAAAAAGTATATAATTATTTAACAATGTTATATAAATTTATAATGAGCACAAAGCAACAAAAATTTAAATTTTCATGTTGTAATATAATTAATTAAATGCATTATAATAAGTCGGTCATTCTTCGGTCAATTATTTGTTGTTATCGATTATCTTAACCGAAGTAAGCAGAAATAAAGTTTAAGATTGTTAGTTGAGAACACCTATTTAAAATAAAGTTTTTTTGATATCAACTTTGTTATTTTAGTACTTACATGAAAAAATAATACACAAAATTTCATTCAACTTCAAGTTCAATGGGGAATGAGGAATTATAGTCAATTTTTACTGGCATTACTTTCATCTTATAAAGTCAATTTATATTTATTAATTGTTGATATTCATTAGAATATGTAGTTATAATATATAACAAGAATAAATACTACAAAGATAAGATATTTCTTAAAGAAATAATATGTATTCTTTAATATTTATAAAGTATATACTTAAATATAAAGATATGGAAGTAAATTTTAATAAATTACTATTTTCATATTACCTTTTCATATTACATTTTCAGTTTAGAAATTTGCTTTATTTAATAAATTAAGTCAAATATTAAATTGATTTCTACGATATGCATATACAAAAATTAATAAAAATTTCAATATAATATATATATGAAATAAAATTTTTATAATATATTTACTAGAATATAAAACAAAGATATTACTTTATATACTATATATGATTTCTGAATAGTATTCAAAGTAATACCATTTGAAAGATCTGTTCAAATAAAATAATCATGATATTTTTATTTCTTATATATACTTATAATAATTAAACATGTTTTTATTTTAAGATTTTATATAATATATTTTACTAAACATATAGAACTATGTAGGGTAATGAACAATGACATATAATATAATATATCGTAAATATATTTTCAAATCTCAATTTTTTCATATTTCCCAATTGTTAATTTGTTAAATTAAATAAAAAACTTTTAATTTCGTAAAAGATACATATTTATAATAACAAATATAATATAATATTAATTAATATAATTTAATATTAATAAATGTATATATTATATTTTCTTACACATAATGATTCTCTTCGTCCCAAGTTAATATTTCAGTAACGACGAAAAGACCAGAAGTTAGTGCAATTATTTTTGGAGAATTGCTTGTAACATTCTTGACTAAAATTACATGTCTCCAGTCACCGTAATTACTTTGTTTTTGAGGCAAAATTAAAAGAAACGACGTACCATCTTTACAATATAAAGGAGGCACAAATTGTTCTACCCAACCATTTTTTTCTTTGTATGAAAGAGCCTAAAATTAGTGAAATTTTTAGATTTAATTACATTTAGGGTTTCAAATTTTATTGATAGAAAAATAAGTTTAAAGTTAAGATATTTAATATGCAATTTTATTTAATATAAAATTATTTTTATGCGACTAACCGTTATACAATTTTGATTTGTAATATTACATATATGAAAATAAACTTCATTTTGTATTCTATTCATCCAAACAGCAGATACGAGATCGTCAGTGGGAAATGACACTGCAGCTAATATCCTTTCAACGTTTGATAGTTGAGGAGGATATTCAATTTCAATTAAAGTTACATTACCTTTAACAATTTTTTGTAAATCAACGTAAAATAATTTTACAGTTGGATTTTGCGTTCCACTCTGAAATTAAAAAAGAAAAAAAAATTAAACTGTCGTTAACCAAACATATTCATGTATATGTATGTAATATTTTTAAGATACGAAAAGTTTATAATTTTCAATATTTACGTTAATAAAGCATTCGATTTAAATAAAAATATTTTATTTGCTACATCAAATAACATATATCTAATTCAATAGAAGTTTGGATTTATTGAAGTTTATAAAATTGTATTGAAATTGTTCTTTGCATATTTTGTTATAAGTTTAGTTTGCGGCTAGATTATTTTAGATCAGAAATGATTTGATTACCGAAGAAAGGTTGATATAGTAAGTATTGAATTATGCTTTTGTTTCTAAATTAAATAAATTAAAAATCTATTGAGAGCAAAATCGTAGGTTCCAACTCTCTGTGATCTAATAGCAATCAACAAAGCAAATTTAAATTATACTGAGTTCTTTAATTATTTTATAGAGAAATTAAAAATGAAAGAGTGACGTAGCTGAAATTATAACTAAATATCAAATTTCAAATGTTTACGATTTTTATAAGTAGTATAATAAAAAATAAAAAAATACACTAAAAATAATTTAAAAATTTAGAGATGAGTGTAAATATAACTTTCGATCCTAAATGATTAATATACATTATATAATTTTTGGAATCTACATTTCAACATCAAGACTTAGCATGTTAAAACAAGAAAATATAAAACAAATTTTAATTTATTTAAAGAAGGAATTAATTTTGTACGTGAAAAAAAACAAAGTAAACAAGTCTACTAATTTTTGAGAAAATAGAAGCGCTACACTACATATTAATTCTTAAGGTTCGGATAATTAATAATTAGATAAAATTTATCTAATTAAATGTATTAATATTTTAATTTTTTATAAGTACGTAAGTGCAAGTTTTATTCATGTGCCAAATTATTTACTTTTTATTCAAAATTGTTTTTGAGTGATTGTAATGATGTATGATTGTCGTGTTGGTTATTTAGCCTTTATTCCTTTATTATTGTTGAATAAGTTTGAAATATAACTACTATTATTAGTAAAATAAAATTCAGAAATAAAAGTAAAGTATAAATACTTAAAAATTTTACATCTATTTTTGAATTTTTCAAATTTTAATAAAAGTAAAGCAGCTTCATTGTTTCATTAGAATAAATAAAATTTTTACTACGCCATCGAATAATAATTTATTCATTCGAAAGTTTGATCGTATTGTTAAATAAATTAATTTTGTAAGAATATTAACATTTTAGGAGATAATATAAAATATTATCATCAGAATTTCCGAATTTGATCACATCATAAAATACTTCAAACACGATTCATGTTTTCACTTGTGACTTAATTAAATTATAAAAATCATAGTGGGTTTTTAAATTCGAATCATAATTAAAATAAAATATGTAAAATTGTTAGTCATTACTATTTTGATAATATTTTTTTATAAATACATAATATATAATATAAATAATAATATATAAATTTATAAATACAAGTAGAAAGCAAATAAATGCTGTAAAAGTAGAAATTACACTTTTATTACTGTTTCCATCAATAATAACAAATTAAAAAATATTTATCTGATTAATATTTTATAACAATAATAAAAAATTTACAATTCATTTGATTTCTGATTATAAATATAGACATCAACAATTTAAAAAAAGAGAATACAGACTTAATATTTCATTAAAATAGAAATATCAGGATATTGAAAAAAGAACGCATTTAATTTATAATATGCAACCACGAACTTCTAATACTCCAATACTAATTCAACACCGTTGAGTAATAATGAAATTTGTTTATATTGTAATTATCTAATTCACATCGTATTTACTATATTAAGAAAAAAATTATTTGTATCATATATAAAATTTTGAATTCATTTTTTATATAAATTATATAGTAGAAATTATTCAAATGATTTATATTCAACGACCTATTTCAAACGAATATGAAATTTTTTAAAATAATTAATTAGTTTGATGCCTATAAATTGAAATAATAAATCGTACTCTAACAATATAATATTAAAATATCTCGTTTTAAGATTACAATTGTTTTAAACTATCATTCTCAAAAAAACTGCTAATAGAAGAAAAATATATTAACCTAAAATATATGAAAGAATAAAGATCTAAACAAAAGCATGAATCAATTTTTTTATCAACTCAATGTTAAATCTGTTAAATCAAACAGCACGCAAACAATATTTGAACTTTCAAACTTTCAAATGATTAAGTGATTTTACAGTTTTAATCCAGTTATTTTAATCAACCATACCCGCATATTATTAAAATGTTGTTTTTTTCTTAACTCTCTGGATTATTCTGGTATCCGTTTGTCATCGGAGTGACAAAAGAAATTTCAAGAATGCATTAAAATTTGTAATATAATGGAGGCTCAAAATAAAATCATTCAATCAAATTCAAATAGTAACAAAAGATATTAACACTTATATTAATTTAGTGACTCGATGCGTCATTGCTGAAATTAAACTTTAAAAATATTCTAATCTATATTTATCTTCTCAAAATATAATTATGAACTGTATATTTCAAGTAATAAATTGGTAAAAATTTACTCGATAAACTAAAATTAATGAAATAAGAAAAATTATTCCCTATGCATAAGAAAATTATGAATGAAATTCTCATTATCAACTAAAAATTATACTATTTAACCCAAAACAGTAGGTAAATTCAAATTTTTACTTTATTTTTTATTACATTATAATATTTAATTATAAATTTAATCTAGAAGTAACATTCAAATATTTATAATATTTTTTGTTGATTCATAACAGAAATAAAAACTATATATAAATTAAAGTTAAAAAATAAAAATTGTTTTTTTATTTTATAAACTGGAAAAACAAGATCAAATTTAAATTGAATTTCAAATTATTCACAAACTAAAACAAAATGTAAAAATCTCTTTTACTACAATTATATAAAATCAATTAATTAATTTTAAACATATAATTTCATAATTAAATTGTATACTTAACTGTATTCATTAGTTGTATTACATATTATGTGCAATATTATATATTAATATTATTTCATTAACTCTTATGTTAATTAATTTATTAATTTATTCTTACTAAAAAAATAATATCTTTTTTATATATATTTTTTCATTAAAATACATTGTTATTCATTTTCTAAGTGAAATCTATACAGCGATGTAAATTTAGTAGTTATGTAGCTATACACAATGTAAGCATTCGCCCCGTAGATTATTAAATAGATCTTTTAATAAACACAAAGATCTCATTATTAATCCTTTCATAAACATTTATTATAGTACTATCTTCATATCACGAAAAATAATATCACCGGATAAAAATTTGATCATAACACCCTGTCAAGAGATTACTAATTGTATTAATTATTACTTTATAAAATTAGATTATCTTATTAAAGCTTTTGTCTATGGGAAAACATACATACAAAATATATGCATCTTTTTTGTGAAAATAATACTATTTATATAATAATTGAATTGAATTAAATTTTGAAATATAATTTGAAGTTCAGATATTTTTTACATTACTACTAATTTTTAAAGCACAAAGATATATATTATACAGAAATAAAAATTATAACCAATTACACATTTTAATCAAGATGTTGAATTTACATATCAGTGAAACAGATTATTCTTTCATCAATAATTCTGCTTAACAGATTTATATAGTTTCATAAAAATTTGAATAATTTATTCAAATTTTTTATTTTCAGTATAGCAATCAAATTTAATTAAAAAAACTTTTTTTAACTTAAAAAAAAAATTAACGTATATTTCAATAAAATATTCATCCATTATGTATTTGTGTCACGAAATTTTATAAAAGTCTTAAAAAGCTTCATAAAACTGTATATCATTATTTTTATTTTGTACCTATTAGACTTTTGTTAACTGAATTAGATTGAAAATAAATAATTTCATATTTGTAATACTAAAAACCAATCTGAAATATCTAAATTATAATTATCATTTTAAATGAGTCATAGCTGTTTTGTATTAAGATTAATTATTTTTTCCAAAACAGACATCATTGTATATATATCATTGGTAGTATGATTTAATTGATAAGTAAATATATGAATTCCAGAATGGCTTGTTTATGAAATAAATTATCCATCATTAATCTAGCATTAAAATATTATTTTATAAATAATATAATTATGATTTTATTTTTATATAAATAAAAATAATTGTTTGCAGATGAAGTGCTAATAAAACGACAATGTTAAAATTCTGTGAAATATATAATATATTTATAAGTGAAGAAAGAACTTATGTGATTACCTTCGGATAATGAATCGGTATTGCTGTGGGATATTGAAAAGTAATTCCTGGAAAACCATAGTAAGGAATATTCATTATGGAAGTATTCGTGTCATCAAAGTGTCCGAAAACTAATTTGGTACCACTTGGAGAAAACCATACTGCTTTATTAGAACTTAATACTTCCTCTGAAAATGAAAGTTATATAAAAATATTAAAAAAGCATATTTACCTAGTTTTTAATAAATTAGAAACTGTTCTGAATTTTATACTATGAATGAATATATTTATTTTAATTATAGAAAAATTTATACAAAGAACATTTAAAAACATTTAAAAAGAAATACATTCAAATTAGTATACTTTGTTTTATTTGTATACTGTTATTTAATTATTATTTACTATATTTAATAAAGTGAATCGATTTCTTTTGAAATTCTAATTTTATTTAATTGATATATATTTTGAAAGCGAAATTTCTATATATTACGTATGAAATAATAAATTTTTAATTTGTTAAAAATCCATGTGATTTTTAATTTTGCTTAAGAAGCTATAATTAATTATTATATTAGGGCGAACATCTATATTAAAATGTCCTTACTTTAAAGAGAACAAATTAATATAGTAGCTACTTATGATTACACTGATCCAACAGAATTATATTTTATTATTTATGACAACAAAATCACAAAAACAATGCTATAGTTAAGAATAAACTACCGATTGTAAAACCTCCCTTTTGTATATACATATATGTTATTATAGTGATAATCAACTTTAACATTAATGATGTTCCAATAAGTTTTTCTTTATTTGGTCTGTATTCGTTTCCATAATATAATTCTTGAATCGCTTGCGTACTATAATCGAAGATTATAAAAACTATAAAAAAGACTCTAAAATATATAAACTAGTAAATTGTTTACGGCAACTTAAAGTATTCATTCTATTTGAATAGTGCAGTAAATATATTGCAAGGAAGCAAAAAGTCTTCACTAGTAGGATGTAATATTTTGTATTAGTAAACTGTTTATAATTAGTATATGTTTATAATTATAAATATATTCATCATTATATCATTCAAATAATATATATATATATATATTGTGTAATATATTGTGATTATATAGTGTGATTTTATCTAAAATAACTTAAATTTTGTTTTGATTTTAAAACAAATATTGAAAAACCTTATTGAAAAACAAATAAGGACCTTTTAGCAAATTAATCAAATTTCTTCCCACTCATTAATTTTTATTGTTTTTTTTGGATATGCAGGTAAGTATAAATGTTTTCCTACATATCATTCTCAATGGTTTTATAATATTAAATATTATATAAATAATTTATTTATTGTTATTTTTATATATATTTTCATTGTATTTCCAGTATACTCATATCTATGGCTTTATATATTTTTGTATCTATAGCTTAATCATGAATTACTTATATGTGCACTTTTACTGAATTTAAAACACAAAAAAAATATTTAGATTGTTTGAAATGTTTATGATTTTTTCTTATTAAATTAATTTTAACTATTATATTTTAATCATCCCAAATATTTTCACTATTATTACATTTATTTTAATTTCAAAACTATTATTTAAACGTTAGTAAAATAAGAATTGTAATTATATTTAATGTAAATTACTTATGGTGGAAGATTATTCATTAGGAATATTTTTGTGTTTGTGTCTTCTTTACTAATATACAGTTATATGTATATATAACATTAAGCTATATGTAATGCATATATAACAATAATGTTATTGGTTATTAATATGGATATTAATATTTATTTTGAGATTTTATTATATTAGAATGGGAAGTTTGCATTATTGTATCTGTAAACTTATTTAAATTGTAATTCAAACAATTTGAATGTAAGTTACTATATGTCTACTATGATTTTTTATTAGATGGATTTTATTAGAATTACTTTGTCAATTAGATACTCATTAATTAGAAATTAAATTTAAAATGTTTCTGTGATATATTAACTATCACTTTCAATCTTTCCCTCTCATTTGCTTTCGTAGGTTCTCGAAACATACAGTTTTGCTGAAATTTTTTCCTTTAATAGTCAGTACGAGGAGATATCTATTGATTATAATTCATATTATTAAAACATTTATTATTATTAATAAATATAAATTTATCATTAATCTTGTGGTATTCCCTACTTTTTTATTCAACAGCTTTACTTAATTTGTTTCAAATCTATAGATAAAAAAATATTTATCATTTTTTCTGTTTAAGTTAAGTAAAAGGGAAAGATTAAATAAAGTAACACGTGTTTACATCATTAGTTTTTAATATTTTTCTACGTATTGAATCGGGATAATAAAATTATTTAATAATTTCTTCATTGGTTCATTTTATTCATACGCATTCATTTGATTTGGTTAGAGAATCAACTACATAGATTATTCAACAAAATCAAATAAACAATTTTTCGAAAAAAAAGACTCTACTAAAAATATCACATTTTTTCAAAATACTCCTATCATTACTTCCCAAATAAACACAATCAATAAAAATAATGAGCTTCGTTAAGGTTCACAAATGATTTCTGAGTACATTTTTAATATTACGAAATGTTTGTCTATAATATTTAATAAAATTAATGCAACATTATAATCTCACTGATAATTAATATTTTGAATATTCTAATATATTATATTAAACAAATTAGATAATTTATTTATTAAGCAGTGATAACATTTGAATGAAGTAAAATAAAAATACACGACAATGAATAAGATAATACGCAAGTCATAGCGGACCAATTACTTTTATAATTGGAATACTTCTTTTAATACATGTTGGATATCTTCTATTTTCATTTTTCTTAAAAACATACTATATCTATATATTTTTATTCAAAGAATTATAACAGGTTTTTGGTTATGTCGTATATTTAAGATTTCATTATATATAAAAAAAATTACAAATCGTCATATTAACTCACCTTCATAAACCCAATCTGGTACCCCGTTATAAATGGTTCCAAAGACACCATTGTATGTTATTTGATAATCCTCGGCTATTTCAGCATGGGGCCGATAATAAATATTATTTTGAAAAATATAAATCAAAGCATTACCTTGTGGAGCCCACACTACTAATTGTAAGACTGGCGAGTCATTTTCATTTAGGAAAGTTTCGTGCCTGAAATGTTTTTTATAAATTCTATAGCTATCAATATGAAACCATTAATATCAATATTATTTACACTAAAAAAGCAATATACAAAAAAATATAATAATTGTATTTTAGTTAATATATATAAGACATTAAACATTTTAGTTATAATGTTATTCAATCTATAACTATATATATGTATATAACTTTATATATATATATATATAACTCCTACTATAAGTAAATAAATAAAAGCTTATAAAAGTACTGCAAAATTATTTTCTTATAAAATTTAGAATTATTTCTTAAAAAAAAGCAAAGTATTATTGTAATATCAAAAATAATAATAAATAATAATAACAACAAATTAATGAAATATATAATTTTAAATTAAGCCTTTCAATATTTCACATACAAACATTATATATATGCATATATGTCTATATAGATATACAAACATGTGTGACAAAATAGAATTAAAAATATAAAAATAAAATTAAAAAACAACTCATCTATGAATGGATATTTTCATACTGATAATACATCTAATAAACCATAAGAATAATACAATATAATAATACAACATAAATATATAAATAATATATTTTGAAATGTGTAATGATTTAGCCGATCTATAATTCTTAAAATTTTTTATTTCATTTTTCTCTCACTACATACTTTCAATCAAATACATAACTCTTAATTTTAATATTTTGTTATTATGTAATTAAAATTTTATATTATTATAATTTTCCAGGTTAATTTAAAAAAAAATTGTATTATACAATATTTGACATTTATGAAATTATAAGATATATAATATTTTTTCATATTACTCAGATATATAATCATAAAAATTGAATTTTTGTCTTTATATACTCTTGTACCTATTAATCACAAAAGTGAATAGTATTAATTAAAATCAAAGTATGTAAAAGTTATGAAGAAATTGTTAAGAAGATTTTGTTTGATGAAGAACCAAAGATTATTCAGTTACAATAATATTACTACTACATTATTTAAATTTAAATAATTTTTATTAACATGGCACACTGTTCTTTTTTAATATTTTACAGTTGTTTATATTTTAAATAACATACTAAAGCTTTAATATAAATAATTTAACATTTTTAATTAGGTACGTTGTAATTATATTTTATAAGTTAATTGCTTAGTAGCAGAATATTACGTTCGTTCCAACATTTATTTTATATTATAATTTACAAAAGAAATTAATATATTTGATGTGGTAAATACAAATTTTTTTTAGATGCTTTTAATCTAAGCTATAATTCTTGATATGGAGACACATTATTTTTATTCAACTTAATTATCGTTAATCTTTGTTGACTCAATATTGATCCTATATACTAAATGTAATAATACAAATTTAATAAAATTATTACTGGTCATAATCATTGATTTAATTTTGTTGATAATTTTAATTAAATTATATTGTATATTAATTATAAGTAAAATTTATGCAAAGCACCTTTATGATGAAAAATACATTCGATGTTTAAAATGTATTTGGAAAATATATTAAATTTTAAAATATAAATATTTAAAAAACATAAAAAAATGAGTCCACTGTATTTTGAGCACTAGTAAATGTACAAGAATAAAACAGTCGATCAGAGTTATTAAAATATGTATAAAAGATAAAAAATAATAAATTTAATAATAGATTTCATTTGCCAAAAAATTTGATTGAGTTAGTATGTCATATTGTATCTAAAAAATTTAAGGTAATTAAATAATTCAAAATATATCAATTTTCGTTTTATCTAAATGTTTTCTATACTTATTTAATTATATAAACTAAAAATTAAATAACCTTGAATTCGAAATATCAATTTTCTTTATTGTTGCGACTTGTGGCAAATTTTTAAGTTCTAGTCTCTACATGTACGCAGTTACTCATATATATGACGTTCATACACTCATACTCTATGTATTTATTTACCCCGAAATTTATGATTTTACAATTGGAGCTGTTTTTAATCCACCTTGATACTTGTTTAATACTTGAATGTTTCATTATTAACATGTAATTCTGATATTATTAACATTTCATCTAAATTGCTTATTAATTTCACTCAACTATTCAAAACCTTTTAAAATTCATATAAAATGTCTTAATTTTGTTAATATAGTATTTTAACTGTTATCATCAAAACATTATTTATTATAAATGTATTGTCTACTGATAATCTTTCGTATGACAATAGAATTCTTGTTGTTAAGCATCTTCCTCTACAGTATTAAATTACAACTTTCTGCATTGAATGATTAACGTTTGAATATTTATATAACTAATATAAATTAAACTTTTTTATTTGAAATGTTAATGATTTTCGAAAAAATATATTAAATTTTCGAATTGAGAAAATTTAAGTCTAAACAGTAGTAATAGTTAAAAGGAAGAGAAAGATATGAATGCTATAGTACTTAAGAATAAATAATGTACACTGTTCTAAGTTAAAATTTTCGAAATAAATAATTGTTCTTGAAGAACTTACTTATATTGATTTAGAACATATATGTTAATTTATTATTAAAAAAGCTAATCGTTATAAGACAATAAAATGTAAATAATAAAAAGAGCTATTTTCGAGTATGTAATTCTTTTTCAAGCAATTTCTTTATTATCGTTTCATTTTATATTAGAATATTCTGGATGTAAATGCAAATTTTTATTTTCGAAAAAACATAATTTAAAAATATTATCACATACGTTGTATAAATTCATGTACTTACAGAGTCTCGAGATTTAAAATCTTGTAGTGGGCTAGATATGTATGACGGAAGAGCTAAAACATAAATGTTAAAATGTTTCTTTATAATAAAAATAGATCACTATACGGATTATTTCATCCTGATCACTTATTCGTAAATAAACACAATTTTTATTATTGATTTAATATCTTATAATTATATAATTTGATTTACTGTTTTATTATCGAAGGTTAAGTGAATTTTCTGTAATTTATTTATTTGTGGGCTCGTGTTATTATTAGTTTTATTATATACTTAAAATATTTAAAAACTGAAGTATTAATAGTTTTAATATTAATAATATGTATATTAAATATAATACAATAATGTAGATTTCTATTAGTTATAAAAATATCTTAATGATTTCCAACTGAAAGAAAAAAAATCAATGCTTTTAGTAATATATACCAATTCTTATAAGATGTGGAATAATTAAAAACAGAGTAACTTTCTAAATGAAATATTATTGATTAAATTTCACAATACGATTTTGTGTTTCTCCCATATTGTAAGAGCAACAATACACAATAGTTCTTACCTTCTAATATATTTTTGTTTTTTGTAAATAATAATATGACTCTATTTTTATGGTCTTTCTTTTTAAATATATAACGAGTAGCCTAACTATTATTTTAATACAATTTTTATGATATTAGACATTACGTATCTTTTTTTTTTAACGCGATGAATTACAATATGATAAGATGTACATAAATAAAATCCGGATTTCAAAATACTCCCAAAGATTATATTTTATTACATTTTTATAATAAATAAAAATTCTTTTACATTTCGTAATACATATATTATTCTATTTATCTCAAAAGCAAATTTACCTCAATCATACATATACTATCAGTACGTATTATCATTTAGAAATTTTTTATTGAATTAAAAAAATTAATTAATGAAATAGATTTGATAGAAAATATGTGATAATATTTTTATATACATGCAATGAGATTTATTTTTAATTATGTATCAATCAATAAGTAAATCACATGTAATTCTAAAAACTGTTTAGTAAATATATAACAAAATATTTATAAAATTTTAATACTTTTTAAATTTGTATTATAGTTTCTAAAATAAAATAAATAAAAAAATTCAATAAAGATATAATTAAAGTTCCTGAAATACAAATTTTTTTTGATAAGAACTTTTATTCAAAGTGTTGATATACTGTTGATAACATGTTATTCTATATTTTGAAATTGACGAATTTATTAATCAATTATTAAATACATTAGATAGTAGACTTTAGAATTATCTTTGTTCTGATTAACTTATTTGAAAATTTTTAATTTATTTAGAAATTATTTTGTATAAAAAGTTAAAAGACTTTAATGGAATTATAGATATAATAAATTATTTTTCTTTTTCAAAAAATTGATGTAATATATTTAAAATAATATTATCTGATAATAATTATTTATTTTTTATTTATATTATAAATATTATTATTATAAATTTTTGTAATCAAAGTACTGTTTTTTATTTAGTAGAATATATTAAAAAATTAATTATATAGCGTTTGAACAGAATGTTACTTAGCGACTTTAATCTTTTTTTCCTTTAAAACAGGTTATTAACTTTGATTCGAAATAAATAGTCATTTTTCACAAATATTTAAAAATACGATATTTTCTTTTACGAGCTTGTTTAAAGGACTCAGTAGAACAATTTTAGTAAAATATATTTATATAAAGTATGTTTCAAATATTTATTTATGGTGAAATGTCTTGTGTAAAGAACAAGAAGAAATTTTAGTATTATTATTTTATATTAAAATTATTCTCCATCTTTGAACAATTTTTTTTTTAATTTTAACAAATTATTTGAAATGTGTAATAGTTAATTTTAATTACTATTAATTTTAATAACTAACAAATTTATTTGAACTTTAAAGTTTATATACGTGCACACGCATTCAGGCACACATATATCGTTAAGTTTTAGGAATGTATAAATTTCCAATTATTCTAATTTCTAATATACCTAATCCAATTATTAATTAAAATTTGATTATAAAATAGTTTGATTTCCAACAGGCTATAGATTCAGAAGACATTTTTACTGGATTATATCATTCGTAAGTGTAATCCATAAGCAATAAATAAATTAAACTAATTTTCACTAACCTCACTGCAGTGATATTATATCCAACTGCCTTTACATATGCAGTAAAAAAACTCCTCGGAAGCTGCCTTTTTTAAAACTCAGTACGGTAAAAATTATTTTTTTGTGTTATAAATTTCATTGTATTAAATATTGTAAAAAAATAAACTTAGCTAAAAGTGTGTACAATTAATGTTATTGATTAGCACAAATAACATGAAAAATAAATATTACACTTGTAGCGAATGAAAAATTAATATAGGAAAATATGATGATTAATGCTAAAATACTTTTTTAAACAATTCTTTTTTTTTCAAAAATAGAAAATTATTTCAATGTTATATTATATAAATGCACAAAACACAAAAAAAGAATATTTATATTGACAGTTTGATATAAGACAAGAACAATAAAAGAAAACCTTTTGTTTATTATCTAAACTGAAAACAATAAGCAATTTTTTAAAAAGCAATATAATCTCCAATTACGGTGTTAAATCGATTACCATTCTAGCGTTTGAATAGAAATAAACTACTAGTACTTAAATTTGTCAATAAACAATAATAGTTATTTTAATAATCTATATATATATTGAATATATTATCGTATTTAGAAAAATAACTATTATTATATTTGGAATTAAAAATTTGGAATGTTCTATTGAAATATAATAATGTACATAGCTCTTACAACTTTCTATATTTACATAAGCTTCTTAAATGATTAATTATAAATTTTTTTCAACGTACTGGACTGATATTGTGTTCATTATATGTATAACACATATTAATATAACAGTCGTTTGTTGGTTTACGTCAAATTTAATATTAACATCTTTTTATCGATCAAATATAGTTTCTGATAAATTTTATACATGTAAAGAACTAATCTACTACTGTTTTGTATAACTGTAATGACTGTTAAGCAAAAATATTAATAAATAACTACTTTCAAAGTAAATAATTAGACACATAGTTGCTACATCAACTGAACATACTACCATCATAAATATATTACCAATATAAAGTTTACTCACTCTTTGATAATTGAAAGCTAATAATAGATACTTGCGGTCCGCAGAGAATTGATGGTCAAAGCTCGTGATAAAAATCTGCAACAAACAAATAAAATAAAATAAATACACATTATTAAATAAAATCACCTTCGAAAGATTATAAGCAATATACTCTACGTTTTCAGTAGCTTAATAATTGCCATGAAATACTTTATAGTTATGAAGCCGTTGTCACAAATGCTTAATTAATATCAGAGTCAATTCATTCAAATGAATAATTAATAAAATGAATATTTAATAAAAACCATCCAATATTCTAATGAGCACAACATAAAACACCCATAGAATAACTAAGTACAGATAAAAATATATAACCTATCTAAGTTAATGAATGATTTAATCTATTAAAAAGCCAGTTGAAATAACTGAAAGTGATCAATGCGTTATATGTACAATTCATTTAAATTAATATATTAAAAACTGAGTATGGCATAGAGAGAATTAACTTATTGTTCCTATTATAAAACTAAGATATGAAATCGTTAAAATAATATTTTTTTTAGTGACTAACTAAACTAGTGACTAACTTCAAGAGCTTACTCATCCAAACATAATAATAGAAATAATAATTATTATTTAAAACCTTTTAAAAACTAAGTCATATTTTCTAATAATGCTTACTAAACAGTTTCTTTTTTCATATAGGCTTATAAAGATTTGTTATACATATATATTATTTTAAGCTAATTAATCAATCTCATTATTTACATCTCATATACTGATTTAATATTTAAACAAAAATTTAGTGTTTTCGATTAATTTATATCCAGTTCATTCATTGAATTCAAATCAACTTACGATTTTCTCTTGTAATCATTTTATATATATATCTGAAAAAAAACATTACAGTCGTAAATGTCAACAAAAATAGAAAGAATATAAATAATGGAAGGGTTCAAATTCTTAACGAAACAAATTCTAAAAGATAATTGAAAAGCTATTGGTTTGAGAAGATAAGATTTTACGAACATTCATTTTTTTCAATTTTGCATCTTATTAGTAACAAATATAGGAATTAATTCATATATACTAGATATTGGAATTATAAAATTAAAAATAACAGTTTAAAACTATATTTCAAGTTTGTATTATTAGAGAATTTTATTGTAATTTATGAAGAATACAAAATACCGATGATATTTATAAACAATCTCTTAATAAAAAACAATTAATTTCAATAAAGTTATATATATATATATATATATATATATATATGTATATATATTAATATTATTTAACTTTATAGAAATCTGATTAACTATTGAATATTGATATATATATATTTAGAAGTTGGATGAAGTAAATAAATTAAAAACACCTAACTATTAAATAACTAACCATTAAATAACAAAGTATTACGTAACTAATTATTAACTAAATAACTAGTAAATACATAAGTTTTCAAAAATATTGCAAGTTATCCAAATTTTTATTATATAATTTGTATATAAATATGGAGTACTACTATTTGTATTTATAATAGTATTGATAAAAATTAAATAAAACTAAAAAAATAGAAATATTACAACAATATTGTTTATGCAGATTTATACGCGTCAATGGCATATTCATATATTTGTATGACGATTTTATTAATGAATAACGGTAAATATAAATTGTATCAAATTGATTAATTCTTTATAAATTTTATTCATTAAGTAATCATAAAATATTTTATAAATTCGAAGATTAAAAACTTTAGACTTAATAATAAACTTTATAGTATCCGAAAATGTATAACGTGTAGAACAGAGATTAATATTCAAAATCATTTATTTATGTGAAAAAAAATAAAGAAATTAATTATATTAATACGTAACTTAATTATATAAGAAATGAAAATTGAAATATTCTTTAGTCATTTTATATAAAAAAGACTTACAAAAAGTTAATCACGTACAATATTAATATAAAAAAAGACATAATATTATTTATATTATACTAAATAAAATAATTTCTATTAATGTTGTTCACAGTATTGTATACAACAACCACATCGAATTTATTTTATACATTTTTTTTATGGTAATTATAAAGTATTACATACTGAGTTATATTTCTGTGAGTATACGGCTACATAGATTGTTTTAATAGAAATTTTTAAGAAATTATCCATAATGAAGAAAAATAATCCTTACGTCGTTTCTTTCTCGAAAAACATTATGACTTTTTTTTGCTGATGTGTTGAATATCATTAGGTTGCCTCTGACATCTTCATAGAGTATCTCATTACCTGAAAAAATTTTTTTTAAATGCAATTAACGAATTTTTAAAAATTAAATTAAATATGTTTAATGATAGATTACAAATAAAAATAATACATGACTAATAATTTGTAAAAATTACGCAGATATACGTATAAAGATTCATGATCACATATTCACATTTATTCTCACTTTGGCATCGCTATAAGATCTACAGAAATACTATCTACATAATTTAAAATCATAAAATTTACATTTTAAACTTTAAAATAAAGAAATTAATTAATCCATTTTAAAAATGTCTTCAGACGAAATAAAATGTTGTGAAAAAAATAAAGAGTTGTGAAACTAGTGAACTGTGTATAATATTTGCAAAAATCCTTTTGAATTACAAATTTATTTAGTAAGAATTTCTAACATATATATTTTTACAAAATTTCTAAATGATAGATAGTAAATTTTAATGTATTTTATAGTATTTCTTTAATTTTTCATTATTTCTTTTACTTTAATTTATAAAAGTAATAATAAAAACACAAAATCTTAAAATTGGAGCTAACATGATATAACAGTAATTCGAAATAACTCTACAATGAAAATTACTAAAATTCATGCAAAAATAGTTCAACTTATTCTTTCAGCACCTATACTTTAAAAAAATTTATGTTTTCGCAAAAATTATTGATTTAGAACAGAAATATTGCTTGTTTATTTATTTAATTATATTTCCCTATTATTGGATTTCCCTATTATTGGTATATCGTACACATTATAGCGTTATACTGAAAACATAAATAGAAAGACTTTGTATAAATTTAATTTTGAAGAAGTTTTCATAAATGTCTCGCAACAGGTTGTGTTAAAACATTTTGAACTATCTATGATTACACTTAAAAAGTGAATGTGTACAAATAATATATATATTCGTGTAAAAAATGGAAATAATCATGAATATACGATGGTAATATACTGAAAGTATTATAAGCATTTGTATCTTACATACACTGAAGCATTAAAGTGAATGTATAAAGAAAAAAAAAATTTATTAATGTATTATTATATATTAATGTATATAATAATATACATTATAGAAAAAAAAACAAATTTCATTGCTTCAAATTTACTTTTATTGACATTTAATTTTGTAATTCTAAAATATATAATAATAATTTATGTGCTGTATAAAAAAATATACCTGTTTTTATTATACTAACACTATCTTAAGCTAATAATAAGTGTATCTATTTTTTAAACAAAAAAGGATGATCTAATGTGAATGAGGATGAATCTAATATTTAATGCAGACTGTGAAAAACTTCAGCTATCTGTAGATTTTGTGTCACATTTTATTCTCTTGGTTTATTTAATAATAAATTATATCACAATGTATATAGATATTTTTGATTTATGCTAGTACTTTATTATTTTATATTGTTATATAATCATCTCATTTACAGTCTTATATATGACTTAATCTTAAATATGATTTTCTGTTGTTTTCCATTTAATATTTTAAAACTATTTAATTTTGGTAGTCATTATTGTTGTGTTTACAATTATCGGCTATAATAGGTTTTCTCTACCAATAAACATTATACATTTTAGGAACAAACAAGCGTTTCATCATTTTTCTCATTCATTATCATATAAATATCTGAATTTCACTGCACTGTTGCTTATAGTAAAAATTATTATAAAATTTTAAGAATTAACAAGATAACCCAGACTCACAATTTTTGTAACTGAATTTTTTACCTACTATACTTGATGATTTTAAATAATTGTTGAGTATATACTACCATAAAGTTCTGCTAAAACAGAAAGAATATGTATGTACATTTTTATAGAAAATTTCGACTTACCACTAAGCCAGGTGCCGTTAAAGCTTTTAGTAGATAATGAACCACTAAGCCAGTCATGGAGTGAGATACCATAATTCTCAAGTTGTTCATTCCGGAATGTTTTACGGGTACGACTTGTGAGTAGAACAGTTACTGTTGCTGTTATTATGAGCACTAGTACAACCATCATAATTAGCCCGATGACCAACAGCCGACGCATGTTACACCCCGTGCCCTTTATCATCAGTTCCTATAAAAACAGATAAATTGATATACATAAAATAAATTTCTTTAATAATATAAAATATCTGTTACATTTTTATGAATATACCTTCTATTAAATTAAAATTATAAAAAATATTTTAATTTATATCTATTCCATAAAACATATTAGATATATGAATAAATTTAATATTTTATCTTTTTCTTGTAATAAATACAATTTACTTTTAATTTAATCTTTTCCATTTTAAATAGCTGTCATACTACAAATATATCATAATTTGGATATATTTAAGATTTATATGATTATTGAAGAAATAAATTAGAAAATATACTTTGTATAAAAGGAAATAATAAATTTCTAAATTCTTATACATCAGGAGATATAGATGATACATCAAATATACTTTTTAATAACAGACAAGCTTTATCCAGATATAATAAACATGAGTTCATAATAAATACAGAATGAAAATTAAAACAAAAAAGTTCCAGATTAATTTATACTAAGTAAATTTTGTATCAATTTCAAACATAATTTAAACCAATTTATAATTGAAACATTGAAATATTTAATAAATCCGATCTAATAGTGATTAATAATTTTGTTTTAATTTTCGGTGGATTTAAATCAATGAATACCTACCCAACAAAAGTAATTAACACTTGGTATTAATAAATGCCTCGTTTGCATAGCGTTTGCAGAAATCTACAATTTCCTTTTAAATTTACTCTACAGTGTAGAAATTGTGTTATCATTAAATTATTCGAACGACACGCAATTTACATTAAGAGATGGTTTCATTTGTAAAAACTATACCTTTCAATTATTTTTGCAAAATGACAGCAGTTTATACATGGATAATGGTTTTATATATTCTGAGCTGATAGTAATTTGCAATATTATGAACGTAAAAAAACGAAAATGTTTGAGTATTTTTATGTAATTATATTAAAAATTGTTTAACAACATGTAAAATTTATAATTAATATGAATATTTTAATATGGTACATAAAGAAAATTATTTACACCACATGTTAAAACAATGGTATATTAAAAAATTTACATAATTTTTTACAAAATTTTTTTATCTAATATAATTATTATAAACGAATTATATAACGAATTATATCATTTAAAATTATCATTAAAAATTAAGATTTAATATCAAGATTAATTTATAATCAAAGTGAATTAATGTCGGTATATAGAGCAAAAATCTTTAAAAATTTATAAAAAATATAAATTCAATAAATATCATTTTAAAAATACTACTAATATGTACTTGTCACAAGTGTAAAATACTGTCTCAATAATATTTTCAGTTAGAAAATCAGCTATACATATAAATATTTAGTTTATATTAAAATGTATTTATTAAAATTGAGTTTGATTTAAAATTAGATCTGTATCTTGTTAGACCTTTAAACAATTTCATTTTTTAAATATTTAAACAAAACTAATATTTAACATATATTACTTAGTATATATTATAAATTTATTAAATTCAAATTAAATTGTATTCATAAGTTTATCAATTATTAAGAACATATTAATCAAATAAAATAATTATGCATTTTATATTAAAAACTTGGCTCAAATTACTAAAATACAAAATAAATCAGTTAATAAATAAAAAATTACCAAAGTTTAAATCAAGATATAAAAAGAAATAAGTAAAAATAAATAAATGACAAATAAATATACTTTACATAAATAAATGTATGAACAATTTAATTAACTAAACAAGTTATATACAATCAATTTCAGAAAGAATCTATAAATAAGTTACATATTAGTCACATTTTTCAGTGATTTAAATGGTACATAAATTAGTTAACATTCATCAAATAAATCCAATTTTACATAATCTATATGTACGTAAATAAATAAAATAAACAATTACCTAATTATATTAATTATCATATCAATAACTAGAAAAAAAAAATTTTTAATAAATAATCTAGTAATTAAATAAAAAATACATAAAATTTGTTCATCAATAAAATTGCCAGCAAATTGATTTTAAATTAAAAATAAAAATTTATAGATAAATAAATTATAATAAATAAATTATATAATAATCAAATTATATAATAATTAAATTATATAATGTTCATGAAATTATTCAAACTATATAAATAAACGAGTTAAATTTTTTTATAAACAGCGTAATTAACAAAAAGTACAAAGAAAAGAAAATGCTCGATCCATTCCGTTCTAATAAAAATGATTTGATCCAAATTAAAAACAAATTGTTTAATTTTATGAGTTAAAAAAATAATTGAACCCTACAAAACAATTTATTGTTGTCAGCAATTATCAGAAAATGATGAAAATGAAAAAATTGTTTCAATAAAAATGGTATAGCAAAAATAACAGTCTGATCGGCAAATTTTTAAAAGACATTTAATAAAATTTAAAAGACAAGTATGATTAACCATACAGCAGAGAAAATTATGTAATTAAATGTATAAAAAATAAATGATGAAAGAAAGTTTAATAAATTGTTAATAAATAAAAATTTGAAGTTTGAATGATTTACATACATTAGTCAGCTTCTAAAAGAACTAGGCAATGAATATTATCGAAGAAAGAATATTATAAAGAAAGTGTAATAAGAATTGTGAATATAGTGAAGATTTAGAGAATAATTTTTTTTTTGAAAAAATATCTACACAAGAATAATAGATAACACTTATTAATTTCATCAGTGTGACGTAAACGTAAAATAAAACTGCCTTACGGATATGTAACCGGTCAATGATATAATAGTTGATATTTATAATTGGAGCCATATTATATATTGAATCGTAAAAGTCATAGAATAAGGAAATATTTTAATAGAAATCAATAAGAATAAGTAAAAATTTAGAAAACTATTGATCTTTCTGTAGCAACAGTTTACTAACGTATATTATGGCAGATAAGTGCTTAACATAATACGATCGAAATTATGATAATCAACTTTTCGATTTAATATCAGAAACCTACAACTTCATGATAGATTAATACTATTCTTGCATTTATTACTGTATATTTTTATTTTCTAAAATAAAATAATGTTAATCAAACAATTAAATATAATCAAAATAAAAAAATTATTTCAAAGCGTCAACTTATGAATTAAAAATTTTTATGTAATAATACAGCTTGTTCAGGATTGAAGCAATTTCCAAGACCGTTGGCTCTCGGAATTATTAATCTCACTAGCTCTAGAATTTGTGTAAACATTTGGGTCCGAGAATTCTCGAATATATAATGTTCTATTAATTGAAACTTAATGTTTAATTAAATGTTTTATTATTAATATATAATGTACAGCTTAGTTTTTCCAGAGTTCTCGAAACTTCTAAAGCTATATTCTCGAACGTTTGAAAGTTAGTCTAGTCTCTGCATAGCAACATCCATCCATTATTGCCATCTACCTAAACGGTCGCGTGGATATATAAGGCAAGCATGTGACGAGCCTCGCTCTCGCTCTCTCTCTCTCTCTCTCTCTCTCTCTTAGTGAAGACGCCACGAACACCACGTGGAATACTGTCTGTCTTAGCAGAATCATCACCAGGAACAGGCACTCTATTAGCATAGTCGCCACGGAGTAAACACGGCTTGCACTTCGTATGCGTATTCAACGGGCTACTATCATCTGAACCGCCAAGGACGCTATCAATTGTACAGGCATTCGACAGTCACACCTGCAAGAAAAGGGTGCTGAGCATCACAGCACCCTCCATTCCTACAGATTAAGGGAATCTCGCGTATCTTGATCGAGCACAGTCTCTGTCTCCAACCTTGACCAGTAATCCCAAAAAACACACAAGGCATTCAAAAGTAATCACTAACATGATCATCACACACATTATTTCTGCACCAAATGCAACCCTGTTTTGCAGTACAACCCTCGCCGAACCATTACGCAACCCTGTTTTACGGTGCACCCATACACTCTTACACTCACAAGACACCACCCAGTAGCACTACACCAAGAGATAGAGAGATTTACGACCTCTCATTTCTCAGTGTAGCAACCCACCACCAATCGCGCTATATGAAGAGGATTCGGAGATTTATAACCTTCTACCTCGACATGTAGTGCATGATACCACCAAGTGGAAATCACCAAGGAACTGCAAGGATCACAACTCTCATTACCAACTGAAAATCATTATAATTTAATTGTAAAATAAACGCAACAAATATCACAAAAACAGATCTGTTAATTACTGAAAAGAAGCCCTTCCACTTATTCCATAATCTAATCCAACCATCCTAGTCCTTCGATGACTAGATGACTGGGATTCTAAACACAACTATTATCTAGTAAGCTTAAAATTTCATTCGTTAAGTTCAATTATTTAACAATATAATATACATAATTTAAACTGGAAAAAAAGTTTATGAAATAACAAATACAGGTTTAAGTATATATAACAATGTATTTCCATGATATGTTGTATTATTTTTGTATTTTATTATCTCAATTTATACACGTAGTATAAATAATGTAAATAAAAATTAAAATCTTTAAAAAATTCGCTTTTTAATAATAATAAATTATTTTAATAGTCATCGAAATAAATATGAGTGAACTTGAAAAGTTTAAGAAAAAATATGTAGATTATGTAAAATTGAAAAAAAAAAATTTAATTTTTTAGAAAATGGAGATATAAAATATGTAAATTATAAAACGCATACTAATATTTCAGGTAAAATAAAATACTAATTTATTACTCAACAAGCTAATACTCAGTGAATTAAATAGAGATTAGACTTATGTATTTTATTGACTAGAGAATGTACTTCAAGATTCTTCTAAATTAATTACAGAAATTTTTAATGTATGTGAATTTATATAATGAATATATATTTGTTTATTTAATTATTAAAAAATTAAGTAAATATATATTTTAAAAATGAGGCAATGTTTTTATTTTTAAATTATTAATTATTTAGAATCCTTTAAAATTATAAATAGATTGATTAAATGAATAATTATTTTAAATATATCATATAAGTTCAACAAATTATATATAATTATAATTGATATACGTATTTAACATTTTTACAATTTAATTTAGGAAATATGTACAAGCAAATATATAGAATATCCAAAACTTTTTGAAATTGTAATCGCAATCGTGTTTTTAGGAACTTTTAAAATTAATAATACTAATACAGTAATAGTTATATCCTTTCTCATACTTAACTATTAATTTTATATATGCTACAAGACTAGAAAGTATTATGACGTATAGAATTAAATTAATAAAAAGAAATATATAGTAAATTAATCAGTTTTATGTTTGATTAATAAGTTTGATTTTGTTATTATATAACTTGTTGAATATAACTTATTTTATTTATATCTAAAATAAAATATATAAAATTACAAATAAAAATTATCTTATAAACTCTCAAAAAATTGATAATTGAAAACGAATTTTTTAATTCCTAAATAATATATAAAACAAAAATTTCAATAGTTTTTTAGTAATAAAATTGAACTTATTGATCATAGTTCATAATTTTTTATTTATATGTATATGATTTTAATTTAAATAAATAAATTGTCTGAAATTGAAAAATTGTCGTTTGTTCGTATACACATTAGGCCTGCCAGACACAGTGGAAGGCAGTACATCCGTAAAGAACACGTGGTCCTATTCCACGAGCTATCAAGCAATAAGAAAGAGACAAAGACGGCAATAGAACAGGCAAAAGAGCAGGGACTTCAAGAGCAAAGAGAGCCAGTTCTCTTCGTAGCTCAACGTCTCCTCGACTAAAGTCTGAATTTATGGTAAAAATGAATGCTCAGGCTGAACGTATAAAAATTTTACAGAGTCTTGCCGAAAAATATGCTGTACCAGAGCCTGACGTCACAGCGGAGGAACTGCCCGATACATTTTCGCTCGTCGAAAATATCCACAAAGCCTTCAATAAAGAAAATGCGTATCGAGAGATGATCTGGCCCGTTACTCAAGATAGTGAAGAAAATATTCCAACCGATATCTTATCAAGGGAAGCGGCCCAATGTGTAACCAGCCGAGGAGTCATTAGTAAGCTTCACCAAGGGCTCAAGGTTGAATGCAATGAGCAACAGCCCACAACATATTCAGCAAGAACAAGCAGGAACCGGCTACCAATGATTAAGCTACCCAAGTTCAGTGGAAAACAAGAAGACTGGGACGCATTCAGCGATCTCTTCGAGGCACTCGTCCTAAAAAGCAAAGAAATTAGCGAGGTGGAAAAATTGCATTACCTCTACACTTCAGTTGACGAGTCTCAGACTCTCATTAACCAAAGAATATTTAATGTCAGCCTGGGAAATACTCAACAAGCCGTTAAAAAATCCACGCCTATCAATCCGTTCCTGTCTTCTTAAACTTTTTCCCCCGATAAAAACAGTAAAGTGCAGAGACCTTGGAGCTGCCAAAAGATCGCAAGAGGCAATAAAACACCTTCTTCCCCTGAACATACTACCAGATTTGTGGAATTACATTCTTGTACACCAAATTACATTACATTTTGGCCGCACTACAGTTGAGCTATGGGAAGCTTCACTAGGATTATCCACCTCCTACCCTCGCCTAGATCAATTGAAGATGTTCCTCACCACACGGGTGAGATCTCTTAAACAAGGCGAACAGGTGACAACAAACCCAGCATATCGGCAAAGATCACTACCTACACGGTCTCAATAGATGCGGCCGTCTTCTTCTTCAAAGAAGTCCTCCAGCTGTTATCAGGTATGTGTTAAAAAACCTCTGTCGAGTCATCCTATATTTCAACATGAAGGAATATGGTGCATGTGCTGTGACAGAAGACATACGATATACCATTATGAAGGATTTAAGAACATGTCAGACGCAGGAAGAAAAAACCTGTTAGAAAAGCGAGGAATATGCGTAAACTGTTTGTATCGTCACAAGGGTTCATGCACCGCACCCCCAAAATGCACAAAATGTCAAGGCCACCATAACATAATGTTGCATGCATAAAATCGAACACAATTCAAATTATATAAAAAAATGAATTATATCCGTGATTCAGATGAAGATATATTGATAAACTATATTATAATTATGATAAATTAAAAATTAATAAGTCATCTATAATAACATGAAGGACATTGCTTACTTTAAAGAATTATATAAAATTAAAATAATATTTATTAATACTAATTAATGTACAGCAAATATTATTAATTTAATACAACTGTATCTTGATGATATTATGTATTAATATTATGTATTATACAACTGTTATTATTTATTTATTCAATATCATTTAGTTAATCGTTGACTTAATTTACTTAAGAATTGACTTTTTGATAAATATTATAACTATGTTTTCAAATATTTACAATCATAATTGACTTTCGTAAAAGATTAACGATGTATAATTAGAATAATCAAAGTACATACTTTATTTGTACATCTTGTACATATTATACTTTATTTATTCTTATATACCTTGCAACATTTATGATTATAAAGAAGAAATTTCCATGTATGCATAATTAAATTTTGCACTTATTAATTATTTCTTCGTTCATTAATTATTGTCTTTAGAAAGCCTAGGTATCCGCAATACAAAGTCGTAAAATAATATAGAAATTTGCATTGTATTATACATAAATTTGCGATGCATATAAGATTTTTAACGAAGTACTTCACGATCGTACTTTGAAATATTATTCTTTTTTATAATTATTCATTGTTGTTTAAAACCTTATTGTTTAAAGCTTCTTTAAAAATAAATATTTATAAAAAAGTAAATCATATATAATAGAGGTTTTAAAACGTAACTTTGCCTAATACGTATTTCTTTAAAATTGTTAGTTTAGTATTTTTAGTTATGAAGTCTATAATATTCTTTTAATAATAAATATTTTACTTAAAATAATTTAATAAAAATAATTAAAAATTTTAAATATTAAATTTTTAGATATTAATGTAAAAATATCATTTGTTTTATTTAATCAGAGATTAAATCAATCAAACTACACTTAAGAATATGTAGAAAATTAAAGATACATAAAATATTTGTATTCAAAAACTAAATTTTATTTTATCTTTAATTCCTTTTTTATTATATTTATATATTAATTTATGTATATTTTATTAATAATATATTAACTTCATGTCTTATATATTAATTACACATTAAAACAAAAATTTAATTATAACCTCATTATTTATTATAAAAACTTATGCATATCTTCAATTTAAAAATTAATGTATGTTTTATACTTTTTTTAATTTAATATATTACATATTTTATTTTCTATTGATTTATCAATTTTTTTAAACAATAAAATGTATTTGAAAGAAGATTTAGGTATGCGTAAAAAAAATAATATAAAAAAGTATGCCTAACACTCTTTTCGTTACCTTTCCCTAAGCTGACATAATCACTTTTTATATGCACGTATGAAAATATGTAAAATAAAGAGATAAGAAGAGATAAAGAGTAATATAGTTATAATTAAAAAACAATTAATAGTATGGAGCGTTGACAAGTTCAATATAAAGAAATAACCAGTTAATGCAATAAAAACGAACCATTAATTAAAAAACAAACATAGATAATCAGTTTGTAATATATTCATGACCTCGATTCATAATAGAATTAAAGTTAAACCTATAAATTAAATTAAAAATTTGTGATATTAAATAGTTTTAAATTTATTATACAATATATTAATTATTATTTTTAATTTTTTTGTCAATATTCCTCAAATTAATAGTCTGATAATGCAATATATATTATAAAATATAATATTCTTCATAAAACTTATATTATTATTGAAATATTTTTTAAATAATCTTTGAAATTTTATAAATTTAGTTAGAATAAAAGATAAAATATTTATTTATTTTACTTAATTTCGTAATTTAGAGATGTCAGACATGTAAAATTTTTAATTATTCGCGTATAATTAGTATTTTTTAAAGTACCTGTCAATTTTTATAGAATTATTCATATATATTAAAAAACATGAAAACTATGAACTAAGAGAAATATATGATATAATTGTTTAATATATTATATATATTACTATTAAATTTTAAATAAATAATTGAAATTAATTGATTTGGAACAAAACCTGTATTCGAACCATTTAAATTCAAAGAAAATATATAGAAATTTAGTAAAATTATTTTAATAATTAATTAATTAATTGTCATAACTTATATAAAATATATTTAATATTTCGTGTGTTTGAAAATCTAAAAATCAAATGAAATACAGAGTAATTCATTGATATAATTCTTTGGAATTTAATAAAACTTGCAAGTTTAATCCGTCAAATTAATCTCATCTGGAATTATTATAACAAAAATTATAATAAAAAATAAAATTTTATATAATTTAAAACACACAATTTAATTTTAGACTTAACTTAGTATTTACATTTTATCTCCGCTTGTACCAATGTGATATAAAAAATACATGTAAACTCTAATCAATTTAATTGTGTATGATTTTATAAGGACAAATATGTTATACTTAGTATACTTATTATATAATAAGCTAGAAGGTAAATATTATTAACTTAAATAATGTTTATGTACAGGAGATATTCTAAAAATTTTTTTATATAAAAATTGAAAATATTATCCTTATTTCTTGCCTTATTGACCATTTAAAACTTTTTTTATATACACTTTTATAAGTAATAATTCACAGTGAAAAAATTTTTCTAATACGTTATTAAAAATTTATTTAATACGTTTTATCTGCAATATATTTCTTACAAGCTATTAAGTGAATATGAAAAATAATGTAAACACAAATATGTGTCATAAAAATCTAATACAAATATTACTGAAAGTGTAAATATAAAATACAATGAAGTTACATCTATAAATAATTTGACAAAAGTAAAAGTATTAAGGTTGTACCTTTCAGATACTGCAGAATAATATATCATACTTGGATGTGTAAACGTGCTCTTGACATGTATAATGAAATTTGCACATACTTACGCTTACGTTGAATACGCTGTCCTTCATAATTTGACTAATGCTGATATTCTATTTTTCTCACTCTGTGAGAGTTAAAAGCTCATCAAGTTAATTGGATAGCTGGGTCAGTTACAATATGACTATATATTATTTTTCCAGTCCTCCCTCTTAAGAGACCAGAACTGCGGAAACGAATTGTAAATAACATTCGCTAATATTATTACTTCCCCCATGAAAACTATATCTCGTTTGACAAAAAAATTATAGTTTTTGTATCAAGAAATTTCTAATTTATTAATAGAATAAAGTTTAAATCATGTTAGTCTTATCAGAGAAACTTCTTAAAACTTAAGCAAATAAAAAAATCGAACAACATTCAGAAATAACTAAATACTCACACCCAATACCAAATTAAAGGGAGAATGATAAAATATGGCATTAAGTATTCTAAAATATTCGATCGATATTCTAAATAAATCTAATTTTAAAAATGTTTATATTTACAAGATGGCTACTTCGATTTCATACCTGATCGTAAGAATAATCGATAGCATACTGTATCTATAATTGTATTTCATTTACATTAAAAACTTAATTAAGCATTTTGAAGTACAATTATTTTATTCTCTTGATTTTGCTTATTATGGTGTAAAGTATATTACTTATTCATTTGGCTTTTATAAAAAGAAAAATATTTTATATAATTAAGGAATGTAGTTCAACAATTTGAACTGTAGTGATGGTTAAACCTTAGAGCTACAATTATATAAATAATACAGGAAAATTGAAGATTTGTTTGATATTAAAGAAGACGTTACAGTATACTAATATGTCAGCCGGAATTATTTAAAATTAAAAAAAATTCACATTAGGAAAAAATATAAGAATTATTTGCTATATTTGCCAATGGATCAAAAATGAAAGTCGGAGCTTATGTTCTTTTTCTTGTCTAGCGCGATGGTAATGCTAAGAATGAAGGGCAAAAATGACTCACGAGAGACATTATTATGATACAACCATGATGTCCAGACGATGGCTATCAAAAAATATTTAGCACACAAAAGATAAAAAGTCAACATGAGATAAACAACGATCGGCACTCCACTAAAGTAAGGAGTAACTGCACTTGAACACTTTCTGTTCATCTGTAATATTTCCTCCCACCTATTCACTCTCCCACTTACTCTCTTTCTTTTCCCTCTCTCCCTTTGACAACTACTCACTATACACGCTTTTTAAACCCACACTGCCAGACTTATACGTACGTGCTCGCGCTATTGAAAATTTCTTTCCGGGAACGACGCACCGTAACAAACCTGTTGAATATTCTTACGTAAGAATAAAGATATAGAAACTAAGACCATAAATTAGGAAGTAAAGAAATTCGTAAAGAAATTTATTTTCATACTATGCTAATTTTTAATTATGAGAATAAGATCTTGTAAATTTTAATTGAATCTAATTTTGTAAATTTAAGCTTTGTTTTTTGTTTGATGAAAGAAAAAAATTCTAAAGATTATATTTCCCTACGTAAGTTAGGATTTTTATTATACGCTTAAGTTGTTGTGTTTTATTCAATTTCAAAACAGTTTCATTATTTAATACTATAGTTGTATTGATTTTTTAATTTAAATCATTTTATTCCATGTAATATATAAAGAATACATGCAAATGGCATCAAATTTATTTAATACAATAACATTTAATTTACGTTTAAAATTGTATTAGAAAAATAGTGCTTGATATTTTTATTTTTATTTTGAATACTTTATGATCTTTTCTATGTATATGAAAAAATATAACTTAAATACAATATCAACTGACATGTCCTTGATTTTTCCATTTACACGATAAGAAATTTCTTCAATTATTTATTTGAAATTTGTTATATTCAAAATAAATTAATGTTCGTATATCCAAATAAATCCAAATATAATTTGATTCATATTTTAAGTATAAATATGAAAAAATAAATAATAAGTTATTTCGTAGAGTTTTATTAACTCTAATACACACACATATATATAAAAATCAATATACATAAAAAATTAAAAGACATAATTATAAAATAAAATCCTTTAATAATGTAGTCATTTCATGCTATCAGTTGAATAGTTCGTAATATATTTATTTTATAAAAAAATGAAATGGGGCCCTATAAGTACATAAATTAAAATACAATGTGCAGAAAATCGTAAATGCGCATGCAAATTTCAATGTGATAAAAATCAAAAAATATTTGATTTTGATATCAATTAAATATTGTGCAAAATTGTAAAATTATAAAGCTGAAATAATTAAAATTTTAAATTGAATAGCAAAATCTATAATGCAAAAAAGATTTAAAAATGAATAACACATTTTTCATAAATATATAATTATTAACGTATTTTATATGTATAGTATTTTATATTTTCTTAATTTCGTAAATTTTGAATATCTAGATATTAGTGTTTAATATATTATACACAAGTAACAACGAATTAAATATAATTTTAAGATTAATAAATGATTATTACTTTTCTATATTAACCACTATTCTTATAAATATTATCTTAGAATTTATGTATTATTTAATATCTATTACTTTAATAAACTTTAATGTAAATAATATATGTATAAAAGAAATAGATTTTGGATAACATTATTGTTCTTTTATGTAATATTATACTGTTAATATATTTTGCTATAGATGCTACACATAGTAATTTAGAGTTGGAATGGATTAAGACGAAATTAATAAAATGTGAACTTGATACTAGTATACATAAGTATATCCGATTAATACTAGTATACATAAGCGTTATTATATAAATTATATATATTAAATATTATTATATATTATTATATAAATATTTATTATATAAATATATAAATTAAAACTAGTATACTATTAATACTAGTATACATAAGCGAATATCCAATTAATATTCGCATGTTACTTATTACTTGTGTTACCAGCATGTCTTTAAAATATAATTTTAATTCATTAGAGTATATTAATTTATTAAATACAATCAGTTAAAAGTTTATCTTCGAACCTATACTGTTTTTATCGTTTTCTCTTATAAAAATTGACATCTGAAATTTCAAATTGCACATATGTGACATTTCTAGTTTCATAATATTATTTAAATAGTAGACTTTTAATTGATGAAAAATATTTAAACAAGAAGTGAAAATATACCATTTATTTAATACTTATCGATTTCTAAAATATAGTTTAGTAAAATATTACAATAATGAAAGTAGTTCTTCTTTTTTCTTTGATCCGTTTTCCAACTTTTTATATGTTCTATGTATTTTATATTATCTATGTAGACTGTTATAAATATATAATCTGTTATATATATATATATATATATATATGTATAAATAAATATTTAAACTATTATGAATCAAATATTTATATTTGAAATGTTTAATTTTTTTTTTATGTTTAATTTAATTTGTATTTAGTATGTTATCTGAATAGTTGTAATTACACCAAATATATTTAACATTCATAAAAAAATATTGTTCGAATTTAAGTGTTTATTTTATGGCTCGAACTGCCAATTCAATAGTTAGGTAGCTTAGGCTCTCGCCAGAGCAATTAGGAAGAAAAAAGGCACAAGTGGAAGGGCTGAAAAATATAATGTAATGTATTGTCAGTGTAGCTATTGTTTATTCTGGTTATGAATTATAATAATATTGCACGTTGTTGGTTGCTTTTAGTGAGATAGAGAATTATTCTGACGTCGTTGATGCTATGGAGATTAATGAGGATCTTCAATGTCGGTTTTATGCTGATGTTGTAGAGATCAGCATGAGTAGTCAACCATGCTCTTCAATTAGCATGGGAAGATGGTAATGTTACTGGTGATGACAATCAATAAGAATTCGTAGAGAGTGCAAGCATACTTAATAGGTGGGGATAAGGCATTCTTTGAGGTAGTTGTTACGTAACTCGACGATACACTAAAGGAGAATGGTAATATTAGAGTGTAAGTCACACCCAAGAATCAGAAATAGTTCCTTCAAGGACGGAAGGGACTGCTCACTAACCTTGAATGACTGAACTGTAGCCTTGACAATGTAAGTACATGTAGAAGGTGAATGTACGGTCTCCACCCTGCTTGGCTTGAGAGCTTATTGTTTCACCAACCTTAGAATGACTGAATTCGAGCCTCAACAATGTAATTACATGTAGAAGGTGATCTTACGGTCTCAGCCCTGTGCGGCTTGTGAGAGCGTATTGTGTTACTTTTGTAAGTTTTACGCGTGGCGTGATTCGAGCGAGAGTGACTAAATTTGTACAAATAATAAAGAGGAGGAACCTTATGAACTACCGTCAAGGCCTGCTGCCTGCGTATCTGGCGCACCTTATTGATTACGATCCCAATAGCTTCACTGTTAGATTGCTCTCTATTTGCAACAGATTCTTTGAATGTCGCACATATGCCTTTAGATCGATTGTCTGAGATGCGGTTGAATTTCGTGCTGGCGCCAGTGATACTAATACTATAAGTATGTGAAATGCACTAACTAATAATAAAAAATCAATGAGTGAGGTGTAGAATTACAGTGAGTCATAACTGAGTTGATAGTAAAAACACCGTGAGCCAGGTGCATGGCGACTGAGTGGATGTTAAAAGAACAGTGGCACGGTGCGTGGCGCGCTGCTCTTAAATATTCGCGTAGTAGCTTGCGACGCCAGCAACAGCGCCGATGCCTGTTGCTATGCCGAAAATCATCGTGACGTCAGAGAACGAAGCTCTGGAATGTTCTAGAAGCGTCAAAGGACACAGCCTTGGAAGGTTCTAGAAGTTTTATCGGCGTAGCTATGAGGAAATATTGTCGTATATTTGAATTTAAGGCATAGAAAAATTCCCGGATTCGCTGAATCGTATTTACAAATATGAGCGTCCGGGAGCTTGTACTTTTCCCAATTTTAAATTCTGCTTAAACTGCTTCAATCTCGAACATTCCGCCCGACATCATAAATTTGTTGATGATGAAATTTATTCTTCAGGGATTGGTATTACGACAGGTTTATAAATTATAAATATAATTCTAGTAAGGGTGTGGGGAAGATGTGTCTTGAACTGAGTGAGCATGTTTCTGTCAACCTTTCTCGTGATGCGCGAGACTTGATCCATGTGAGAGTTCTCAAGAAGTTCTCTGCCTTTAATAGTGTTTCCATTACCCTTAAAGTCCTTGCTCCTTCTTAAAGCTTCCCTTGATATATGGAATGTAAGCGACGGCTCATGTTTTTTTTTTTTGTTTAACGGGTGATGAATTTAAACAAATGGCAGTCCTTCTTAGTAATTTACCCAGCGTTGAATGTCTGTATTATGTCTCAGTGATGATTTGATTTAGTTTCCGTCGCCAATAATGTTGTACCGGATCTTGCTTCTAGTTGACATTGTTTGTCATCCAATGTAGATTAGAATGGTGATGATTCTGGCGATTTGTTCCGTGGTGGTCCGGTCCACCACAATGAATGTTCTTGATTTTATGTTGCACACATGCCCCGTGCACCGTCTGCTGGATTCGATGTTCCAGGGGCATCTCCAGTGTGCGTTTGAAGTTCGATCTTAAATGCTGGCAACCCTGTTTTTCACGTATTTCTTTCATCTTGATAGATGGGACTTTATCCATGTGATTCGTGAGTCAATCCAGAGATGGGTTGCCTTGACGTCCATTTTCAATGTGGCGAGGACGTACTATGTGAGCTTCAAAGGAGTAACGCTGCAGCAAGCTCTGGTCTTGGGATTGTCGTTAGAGTGAGGGGAGTCACTTTTGTCTTGGGACACATTAATGTAGTCATTATTTTATTTTGGTCGTGTACTGATGCGTACATGACTGCCGACATCGCCAATTTTTATACATCAGAGAATCTATGTAGTTCTCCATGTTGAACCACGTGATATGTAAGATTTGCTGAATCGTATTTACAAATATGAGCGTCTGGGAGCTTGCACTTTTCCATAATTTGAAATTCAGCTTAAACTGCTTCAATCCCCAACAGATATAAATATATTTTTTCTTATTAAAATAAATTAGATTATTATCAATACTCTCAGCACTGAAACTTTTAGAAATATTTCTTCTGAATGTTAAATAAAGAATTAGTATTTCTCACAATTTT